AAGCTCCGCACCCCCAGGCTCCGCACCCCCAGGCTCAGCACCCCCAGAAGTAGCACCCCGAGCAGGACCACCCCCAGCAGGACCTGAGTCACCAGTGACCTCAACCGGCGCAGGGAAGGGGGGTGGGTCTACCTGAGACACACCTGAGGGAGCAGGACCTGGAGCGGGGAGAGGGTCGACCTGGGGAGCACCTGGAGCGAGGAAGAGTGGCAAGGGAGGGAGAGGGGCAGTGCGATAGGGGAAGAGACGGTAAAAGGGAACCGACTCGTCGAACGTGACGTCCTGAGACGCAAAGACACGGCGCGAGGTGGGGTGGTAAAACTGCCAACCAGGCGCGTCAGGGACAAAGCCAAGGAAGACACAGGGAACTGCACGGGCGGAGAGCTTGTCCGCGGTGGTATCGCGGACAAAGGCACGAGCACCCCAGACTCGGAAACGCGACGCATCGCCAACCTTCCCCGTCCACAGCAGTGTGGGCGAGGTCTCCGGCAAGGAGACACGGGGCCAGAGGTTGAGCTGATGCGCGGCGTACCAGACCGCAAACGGCCACAGAAAATGGGGGGCAGCCGCATGGATCATGGAGGTACGAGCGACCTCCATGACTAAGCCAATGCGGCGCTCAGCAACCCCATTCTGCTGCGGAGAGTCCGGAAGCGTGAACGACTGGGTGATGCCGTGCTCCGCACAGAAGGCTGCCAAGAGGTCGGAGGAGAACTCACCACCTCTGTCAGAGTGCAGACGCAGGACGGGAAACTCCGTCCCGAACCGCTCGCGGAGCTGGAGACGGGCAGCGCGGATCCAAGGGATCAAAACAGCAGGGACCTCCCCCTTGCTGCGCAGGGGAAAGACCGTGGTGTAACGCGTGTAGTCGTCAACAACCAGCAGGAAGTACCGCTCGTGGCCCTGTCCACGGACGCGGGCTGGGCCCCACACGTCCAGGTGGAGAGTCTGCAGGGGAGCCTCTGTGGGAGGGAACGAGGAGGAGTGAGGAGCGGCGCGCTGCCGCCCCTCGACGCAAGGAATGCAGGGCGGCGCAAGCGAGGGAGGCAGGGCAGGCAAAGACCTGGGCAGACCAGAAACCAGGAAGCGAGAGTGCATGCCACGAAGGCGCTGCACCGAGGGGTGACCAAGGCGGTGGTGCCACAGGAGGGTCTGGTGCGACAAAGCGCGACACTCGCAGGGGGCCGTCGGCTGACCGGACGCAGACGCAGACGCAGCTACCTGAGCGGACGCAGTGGTCAGGGTGTACAGACTCGAGCCAGGCGCACGGGAAAACGTGGCCAGGTGTCGGCCGGTCCGAGCACACGTACAGTGAGTCACCCGCTGACTCGCAGGAGTGAACTGGTGCACCCCCTGATCCTGGAGGTCAGCTCCACTCACCAAGTTCGTAGAGAACGAGGGGAGGTAAAGACCTGACAGCAAGCCAGACGGGGCGGCCGGACACGGCAGAACCGTGGAGTAGTGGGCAAGGACTGGACCCCCAGAGGGGTCCGCCAGGGAGACTGCAACCGGCCGACTAAGCGGCGTGAGTGTGGTGCAGTCGCGAAAGAAATAGCGGGAAGCACCTGAGTCAAGCGTGAAGGTGTACAAGGCCGCAGCAGGCGCAGAACTAGAGAGAGCAGACCCACCAGCACCTGGAGCAGGAGACGTACCGGCACCTAGAGCAGCAGCCTCACCAGCACCCAGAGGAGGAGACGCACGAGCACCTAGGGCAGCAGCCTCACCAGTACCGGGAGCAGCAGGTGCTATACAAGGGACAGGCGGGACGCACAGGTAACAGGCACGGTCAACACTAGTAGGCAATGCATACATGGCAGTGAGAATAGCATCATAGTCAGGAGCAAAGATATCTACCCTCTGTCCAAGCAGCTCCAGCCAGTCGGGGAGCTCAGCCTCGTCGCCAAACACTGTACGCCAGTCGTCGCTCAGACGGGCGAAGCAGCGGGACTGTGTGTGACCAAGCGTCCCGCAAGGCTGACCAGTCCGATCACCTGTGCGAAGGACGTACTGGCAGCGAACTGTACGCGTAGACCTGCTACACTGAGCGTACCACTCGTGGAGCTGCCGGGACGTAAGTGTCTCGCGTGGACGCCGCTGCAGCTGCAGCTGGCCACTGCTAGAGGCCCCCAACTGACCAGCTCCAGGGCGACAGCTACGACGGCTACCGCGACAGCCCCAACTAGTATACCACTCACTAAGCTGTTGGGGCGTGAGAGACTCGCGTGAGCGTTGCTGGAGCTGCATCTGGTCCCTTGCTAAGAGCTAGCAGCAGCAGCAGCTCGGGCAGGGCAGGCGCGGCAGGCCGGCAGGCAGGCAGGCAGGCAGGTAGGCAGGCAGGCTGACAGGCAGACAGGCCGGCAGGCAGGCAGGCAGGCTGACAGGCAGGCAGGCAGGCCAGCAGGTAGGCAGGCAAGCCGACAGGCAGACAGGCCGGCAGGCAGGCAGGCAGGCAGGCAGGCTGGCAGGCAGGCAGGCAGGCCAGCAGGCAGGCAGGCAGGCAGGCAGGCAGGCTGGCAGGCAGGCAGGCAGGCAGGCGCTCACCAAAGGCTGGAAGGGCAGGTGCTCGCCGGGCGAGCAGGGCCGAGTAGGCGCACGACTGCAGCAGCGATGGGGCCGTAGTAGCGACTGTAGAGTAGGGCCGCAGCAACTGCAGGGTGGGGGGCCGCTTCAGCGGCAGTCGCAGAGTGGGGGCCGCATCAGCGGCAGGTCGGGGCCTCGGCAGCAGCAGCGAGGGGCCGCAGCAGCGGAAGGTCGGGGCCGATGCAGCTGCAGGCTATGCAGGGCAGCGCGCGGGGCTGCTGTGGGCCGAGCGCGGGCTGCAGGAGGCAGAAACAGGCCGCACGCAGCAGCAGCAGGCCGCGCGCAGCAGCAGCAGGCCGCGCGCGGCTCGGCAGGGACTGCGCGCAGCAGCAGCAGGCCGCGCGCGGCTCGGCAGGGGCTGCGCGCGGCTCGGGGGGGGGTCGCGCGCGGCAGCAGCGGGCTGCGCGCGACTCGGCGGGGCCGCACGCAGCAGAAAACGGGCTGCGCGCGGCTCGACGGGGCTGCGCGCAGCAGAAAACAGGCTGCGCGCGGCTCGACGGGGCTGCGCGCGGCTCGACGCGGGCTGCGCGGGCTCGGCGCGGGCTGCGCGCGGCAGCGGGCTGCGCGCGGCTCGACGGGGCTGCACGCGGTTCGACGGGGCTGCACGCGGCTCACTGGGGGGTGGGCGCTGCGCTGACGGCGTGTGAGGGGCAGCAGAGCGGCGCGAGCAGCGAGGGCGACGCTTGAGGCAGCAGCGGGCAGCGTGCGTGACTTAGGTCTGCGCGGTAGCAGCAGCAGACAACACAGTAGGCAGCAGGCAGTAGGCTACAGGCAGACGGCGCGCGCAGCGCAGCACGTCACAGGCACAGGCGTGGGGTAGCGGTAGGTGGGCCCGAAAAAAACGGTCCTACGGACCTACTGCTCTGAAACCATGTTAGAATCTAGAGACAGGAATGAATGCATTGATGAAGTGTTGGGTACATAAGCTAACCCTAACATTGGGTTGTACCCCATATGGGCTACCCCACTAGCAGCCTACACAAACACAATATGCATAGTTTGACAAGCTTGTGCGGGGGGGGTGTTATATTTGACCCCGTTGGTACTATACCCCCCCTTTTGGGGTGATCCTATATAAGACCCGGGGGGTGGGTGTTATGTGCGGCAAAAGTGCAATTTTAGGTCACATTTCACACAGTTAGAGGTACAATCTACCATTGATGAGCAGCACACAGCAAGTAGACCATATAAGCACTCTTTACTAACATAACCTACTACGGTACTTCTGTTTCTTCTCAATAGTTTGCACGAACTCTCGCTATGCATGGCTGGCTCTGTTTCCAGCCAATCAGGGTCCATAGTTAGCCCACTGGAAGTTGCCATGTGGCAGAGTCCAGTGGGCGGTCACGTTATCCTCGTATACTCGGTTTTGCGGCACTGTTTAACAAACAAGAAGTGAAGTCACACACCACATTTTGAAACACATCGTTTCTGCTTTAAAAAAGTATGTACTATATAATAAGACCCGGGTATTATGTAGGACTTTCCGTTGAGGAGACCCCCCCCATTTTTTCCCGGTATTTATCATAATACCCCCGGGTGTTTTATCCGGGTGAATACGGTACCTAGAGTTTGGGAACTAGTACAGTACCACTCAAGCCACCTAGCTAGAATGACTAATACAATGACTAGTACCGTATGGTAAGGATGGATGGACCTACCTACTGTAACATGATTGGAATACTGAACCCTGAGTGTTTACACCGCAAACAACGCACGACGTGATTACCACCTTAGGGTACATTCCTGTGTAGACACAAATGTCTCAATGCACTATTTTCCGAGTCGCGTCTACACAGTTTTTCAATGTCGCGTCTCAAACGTTGGATGTATCGCGACAAAAGGCGATCAGGCGAAAAAAACAGTTGTGCGCATCTGATTGGTTTTCCGAAATGACTGTACACCAGTCTCGTCAAATGATTGGCTGGGGTGTGGTTGTGACGCGCGGATTCTTTTCCCGCGCGGAATTGTCATTGTCGAGGGGTCCAAATACATTGACATTTCGGACCGCGGGCGACTTTCCGAAATTGACGGGTCAATTTACAACTCGTCCGCGACGTTAGCGCGTTTCACGCTGACCAATTAAAAATACAGTACATGTCGCAGAAACACGACTCGCAATTGTGACACAATACAGTATAGGCTGTTTTTGGGTGTCACAAAGTGATTGAGACATTTGTGTCTACACAGGAATGTACCCTTAGTGGTGATATTCTCCTACTAGTGTGATCACAGCCTTCCACCCAAACGCCTTCCAGTTGGTTAACTTTAGAGAATTCTCAAAAGATACAGACGCGATTCATGGAAAGGCCAGCACCAGCTGTGCATGAAGAAACTCGGACTTCTGAGGTGCCTCAAAAGAGATTGAGTGACTCTCCCATCCATGGCTGCAAACCTACCATCCATGGCTTCTTCAAGGGTTATGAGAAGAGTGCTGCTAGCAGCTCCATGCCCTGCCATGGCATGTGGGAGCGCACATGTTTGGGATATACAGTAGAATAATGTCATGCATTGGTTAATATGATGGCATGTGTTGGCATGATGGCATGCGCTGGCATGATGCGCTGGCATGATGCATTGGCATGATGCATTGGCATGATGCATTGGCATGATGCATTGGCATGATGCATTGGCATGATGCATTGGCATGACGATAAGCACCAACTTAGATTCAATACCATACCAGTGCTGTCTTAACCAACGCAGCTTGCTGCCACCAGCAGCAAGACTAACAGGTCACCAGCAATACCTACTCAACGTTTTAAGGCACGAGACATGAGGGCAGGAAAGGAAGTGGGTGTGTGGAAGGGTTTGCGTGGACGGAAGACATAGAAAGGCAAGCGAATCTCACCTTATTGTGGGAGACAAGGGTCCCACCCACGGGTAGCACATTCCTAAGCGGCCTCATCCCACCGTTATTCCGGTTCTTGAAGCATCCCAAAACTGGTTTTTCCCGTGTTGAGAGACACCATAAACTCAAGAATCTCACCTTGTTGCTCGAGGCGAGGGGCCCATGCAAAGCACATTTCTCAGATGCCTCACACGCTGCTGTTGTTCTGTTACTTGACACGCCCCACAGCTCACTATTCCCCTGCTAAAACGTCAACTGGAAAGTCTCACCTTGTTGTGGAGCGGAGAGGGCCCTACACGGAGAACGTTCCTGAGATGCCGCATGCCACCGTTATTCCGAATGCCACTGCGGTACGCAGCACTATGCTTGGCCAGCAGCAGCAGCGCATCCAGCGTGGGCGCCATCACCCCCTCATCCTCCACGCGCAGCAGATTCACCAGCGTGGGCAGCACCGCGCCCATGCCCTCCCTCCCCTCGTGCACGCTCGCCAGCCCTGCGAGCGCCGTCACCGCCGCGATCAGGGTTTCGTTGGGCGGGGAGGCGAGCACAAGGAGGGAGAGAGGCCCCACCGCCCCGTCTGCCACCATTCGGCTCCGTTTCGACGGGACTTGCGCGAGGATCGCTAGGGTTTCGGCCGCGCACTGCTTGGACGCTTCTTCTGCGGCGGCCGCCGCTGCCACCGCCGCGCCGCCCGTCGGCGGCGGGTTGGCCGGCGCGGCAGCGGCGCTGGGGTCTACAAACTTAGCTAAGTGCGGCACCGCGCCCGCATCCACCACGACCTTACACGCCTCATCTGAGATCGTGGCAATCGCTTTAAAAATCCGAGCCATGCCGGCGCGCGTCGCAGGCAGCTGTGCGCGTTTCAGCGCCTGAACCAGCAGCGGCAGGTGACCAATCAGCTCCACCTTCACATCCTCATCCGCTAGAAGATTCCCCAGGGCTCTCACCGCCGCGTCAGCTGCTTTCGCCTCCTGGGGAGAGGAGGCAGCGGCGAGGGGGAGCAGAGCGTCGATGACCCCTGCGGAGCGGAACATGGCTCGGTTGGTGGCGGAGAACTTGGTGTGCCAGCCTACAAGCCCCGCTGCCTGGGCTTTTTCGTCCACGGTGCCGAGACGGAGCGTGCGGATGATCTGCTGTGCCACCCCCTGCTCCCCTGTTGCCTGTGCGGCTTGACCCTGCCGCTGCCGCTGCTGCTGCTGCTGCTGGTGCTGCTGGTGCTGCTGACCGGGATGCGTGGGATGCAGCTGGTGCTGCAGCTGGAGCGGCTGCTGGTGCTGCTGCGGCAGTAGTTCTCGTGCCTGCTGTGGTCGCAGTGCTGCTGGCTGCTGCTGCTGGCGTGGGCGACCGTGCTCGTGCCGCTGCTGCTGCCGCTGCTGCCCCTGCTGCTGCTGTCGTGCCTACTGCCACACCCCCAGCCCCGTTCACTGCTGCCCCTCCCACCCCTGCCCCTTGTGTTCCAACCACTCCTGGCTGTGGGCTCTTATCACGCCGTGTACCAGCAGCAGCAGCAGCACCACCACCACCAGCAGCGACAGCGGCGCTATCCCCCGGAAGCATCACCTTAATGGGTTCGACTACCTTCTTTGCTGCCTCCTGCCCCTCCTGTTGTCTCACTCCCCTCCCATCCGCCCCTACCCCTGCCACTGCTCCTGCTCCTGCCCCTGCCCCCTGTTGCTGCTGCTGCTGCGAAGTTGCTGCTGCTGATTCCGCGTGTCTGTCACTCCCACCCACACTCAGCTCTGTCAAGCTCTCTGCCAGCAAATTAATCCCTGGCGCTGCTGCTGCTGCATGGGATCGGCTGGGCTGAGGGGCGAAGATGGAGGAGGGCGCGGGAGCAGCAGAGGTGGCGGCAGCAGCAGTGGCAGTGCTGCCTGCACCTGCTGCAGCCTCAGCGGCACGCTTCTGCTTCTCTCTGCGCGCTGCCACCTCCCGCTCCATGCGCATGAGCACCAACACTATCTGGGGACGTGCATGGGATGGGGGTAGAGGAGGACAGGGGGAACGGGGTCGAGAGGAGGGTGGGGGGAGGGGTGAGGGGTGAGGGAACATGTAGTACGCATGGCTTATGTGCAGGCTGCCACCTTCCAATCCATGCGCATAAGCACCAGCATTATCAGGGGACGTGCACGGGCACGATGGGGGAGAGTGGCAGCGGTCGGGTGGCGACGGGATATGAGGGGATATGAGGGGATATGAGGGGGGGTGTGGGCAGAGATGAGGAAAATGCGCTGGCTGCCACCTCCCAATCCATGGGGCATGAGCACTATCTGGTGGTGCGCATGGGGCGGGCAGGTGCGATGGGGGTGTGTGGGGAGTGGGGCGGAGAGAGAGAGGGGCGGGCAGGTGCGATGAAGGAACAAGGGAAAGAGAGTGTGTGGGGGGGGGGGGGGAAGGAGAGAGAGGGATGGGGGGAGGGGGGAAGGGTGGTGGGGAAGGGGGGTGCTGCTGGTGGTGGGGGTATATATGGTGCATGGACTTTGCATGGCCTGTAAATGGCTTGTGCGTGGTTGGTTTGTGCGTCTTCCGAGGCGCCTGCCCTAGTCCATGCCACGTTCCCCTTCTCTTCTTCCTCTCTCCTACTTTCCCCCTTTTCACCCCTCCTCTTCGCCGCCTCTCCTCCCTGTCCCCGCAGCCTCACTGGGTAGAACTCTCAATCCTGCGCAGCACCCTGCCCCCCTGCTGCGCATAACGTAATTCACACAAATCACATTCACCTTTTCCCTCCCCTCTTCACCCACTTCCCCCTCTCTTCCCTATTCCCTTGGTATCCCCGCCCTCTCACACAAGTCTGCGCCAAGTCGCGCCCCTCCTGCGCATGTTTCAAACCGATCCCATATCTCTCCCCTCTCTCCTCTCCTCTCACCACTTCCCCTTCTCTGGCCAATCCCCAGTTTCCCCTCCCCCGGTCTCACCTGCTCCACAACCTTCACCTGCGCCAGATCCCCCCCTCTCCTGTCCCCCTAACGTGTTTCATTGCGCCCCAGTTCATCTTATCCCTCCCCCTCCCTACCCATTCCCCGGTTCCCCATCCCCCAGTCTCACCTGCTTCACCACCTTCGCCTGCGCCAGGTCGCGCCCCTCCTGCACCTCTAACGTGATTCACACCGATCCCCGCACCGCTTCCCCCTCTACCCACACCGCTTCCCCATCTACTTAATCTTCCCCCCCCCCCCCCCCCCCCCCCCCCCCCCCCGGTTATCCCTCACCTCACCCCCAGTCTCACCTGCTCCACCACCTTCGCCTGCGCCAGGTCGCGCCCCTCCTGCGCCTTGCGCTTCTCCAGCGCCAGCGCCTCCTGCTCGCGGCGCAGCGCGCCCGGGTTGGCGGCTTCCGCGGAGAGCCCCAGCCCGAGCGCCTCCGCGAGCTGGAAGGCGAGGACGTCGGAGCCGGGCGCGTCCTTGAGCGCGGGGGAGGGGGAGGCGGCGGAGGAGAGCAGCAGCTGCAGCTGCGCGCGCATGGCGGGCGTGACGCACTCCGTGAAGGGCGTGTTGAGCAGCTGCTGCCGCATAGCCGTGAGCTGCGGGGGGACGAGGGGGAAACGGCGGAAGGCGGGGGAGAAGAGAGGGTGGGAGGGGGGTGTTTGGGGGTGGGGTGGGGAAAGAGGGAGAGAAGTAAGGAGGGAAAGGGGGACTAAGGTGTGAGGGTGCAGCTGCGCGCGCATGGCGGGCGTCACGCACTCGGTGCAGGGCGTGTGGGGGAAAGGAAGGGGCAGGGGGGGGAAGGTGGGGAAGGGGAAGGGGGTACTTGAGGGTTGCGGTTGTGCGCATGGCGGACGGGACTGACTCAGGAAAGGGCGCACGGCCGTGCGCTTAATCATGGAAAGGAAAGCCGTGCGCTTAATCATGGAAAGGAAAGGGCGAGGGGACGAAGTGGGTGGGGAGGGGGTGGGGAGGGGGTGGGGAGATGGTGGGGAGAATTGGGGGGGAAGTCACGGGATGTCAGGGAGGGGAAGGGAAACATGGAGGGAATGTGAGAGCAAGAGGAATGCAGGAAATGCGGAGACAATGAGGAGGGGTAAGCGCGGAGGGAGGGCAGTGGAGGAGACTAGGGAAAAGGTGGGCAATTTGACAGATAAGGGGTCGTTGGGAGAGAGGGAACTGGGGAAAGAGATTGAAACCCATAACTAGCGAATGCTAAATGTTCACGCTTTAAAAGCTTGCTGATTTAACGCGAGGAAGACTGAAAGCGGTCCCCGCTCTTAAATAATGATCCATTCGTCTGACTCTTGATCGAAAGCAGACACACGACAAAACAACCATTCTGAATTGTTTATCATAACCGTATTGAGATCTGGAGAGCTACGATTACCGCCCAGCCATAACGGCTAACTCGCGCCCGTAGATCTTTCAAGTCTAATCGCCCACGGACGCATCTCTTCATTGTGGTTTTCTTTCGATGCCATATCCCAGACGTCAAGGGAACAATACTTATCAACAATGTGCGCAGTCTAAGCCGCATTGACGGTTAACCTACTAAGGAAGGGATTGATGCGCCAGCGAGTGAGGTAGACTGACCTTGGAGGTGAGGGGTTCAGGGAGGGTTTGGATGGGGACGGTGGAGAGGCACTGCTCCAGCTCCGCGTGCATCTTAATGAAGTCCTGCGCCTGTAGTGCGTGCTCCGATACCAGCTGCATTTCGTAGAACACGCACAATTAGTATACTAGAATCTTGAATAAGCACGTAACATAAACAAAGTGACTTCGTTTGCTGCGATTTCTGATAAGGAGCAGAAATACAGCCAGCTGTGCGTGATAGAGTTCCTAATGAAATGACGCAAACTATACCAAATGTTGAGGCAACATTGCCGCCAAGATGCACCTGACAAGCGGAAAACGAACAGGCAATATTAAATTCCTCTCTAAATGTCGCACCTGCAGCAGTTTACTCCGCGCGCTGATGCATCGTTGTAGCAACGCCGTGGCTTTTCGTAAGAGATCTTCAAGCCTCTGAAACGATTTCTTCGCGCCGTCGGTCGCAACACCCCAGCCTTTGAAGCCCTTAAACTCCGTCAGCAACGCGTGCAGGGATGCCGTCGACTCCAGCATGAGATCGAAGTTTTTCAGGTAAGCGCTGGTGGTGATATTCTCCTTGAGCTGCAGCGCGAACTGCGTTAATGTCATGCAGCTCGCGATGATGAGGACTAGCACCGGGTCCATCATCATGACCGTTGGTGGGTCGCAGTGCACGACGACCGTTGGATGCGAGGGACGACGAAATGGGAGATTGCAGTGCACGATGCGATGGTCGACGGAAAACTTAGCCCGTTCGCCCTGTGGACTGAAACAGCTACCAGCGCATCCTAACCAAGTAGAATAATCGACGTAGACGAACTATCTCTAGACTGCTGAGAATACAAGTGGGGGGAAAAAAAGCAACGACGAACTAACCCTATACTGATGTGTGTACAGGACGAGCCTTAGAAGCTTCGAAGATGCGAGTGGAAAGTGGACAACGGGTCCATAAAGGCTTCTATTGGCCCCATGAGCCCGCTTCCAGATATGCGTGTCCCTGCGTATGCGTCACGGCTCGTGCTTGAGAAGACGCAACACGCGTTCGTGGCACGCAACACGCGTCCCGCTAGCAATGTTCAAGCCCCCAAAGCTGGAGATTGCGTGGGAAAGAATGCAATTGGCTCTGCTCTACTGAGGCGGCCGATTCAAACTGAGGAGCAGGAACAAAGGGGAATAATGAGCGTGCCATCCCAATACGCCATACATTAGATGGTAGGTATGCCCACCATACCGATCGATGAGAGAACGGGAGTGCGATGTCGCAAACAGGAATGCATGCATCCAGCCATGGTCAACGAGAAGCAAGCAGTAAGGATCGCTTAGGCATCAGGTCAGGAGCTAAGGCGCTGGTTGCAACAGGCTTCAAGAGGACGTATTTGGCCAGGGGGATGAAGGAAGGCCATGGATGAAAGGTATGGTGGGTCACATAGATAAGATTACATCCAGTTTTAGTTTTGGCTGCAACTGGAATTGGTAAACCGAACTTGACCAAATTATAGATTATCACAACCTGTTTTTTACTAGGTTCTGGACAAGTAGTGGTCCTTGTGAACCCTACCTACTGTTTACCACGTACGGGAGGGCGTCTCTGGTGGGCCATTCAAACATTTTACATTGGAAATAAACTCCTTTGAACGAAACATACATCTCTCCCCACCGTATGGAAGTTCAATCCTACTCACGCATCTGGAGACCCAATACTGTAGTGCGGTTCTGTTGTTCCGAAACGATTTCTTGGCGGGACCCGTAAATGTCGACTTCGATACAATCGTGCGCGTATAGCGAGTTCGAACGTTTGCTCTGATGATCCGAACCCATCCCCCACCCAAGCTCTCTCCTGGGCTCGCGCTGGTCTGGCGGGCATGTACCAGCAAAACAAGCAACTCCGCTCTACCGAGTTGTGCGAGGGAGACATGTGCCCCGCGTTATTAGAACCCTTGCCACCACCTAATGATGGCAAGGTGACAAGGGTCGATCTCCAAAAAAGCGTCTGCGGACGTCGCGATCAGTCGTTGGATCCGTCGCACACCAACTGTCCAGACCACACCAGGAAAGCACGGAGACATCTGACCGTCCGTCAGTCTTCTTGGTATGGTGGTAACGGCGGTGCGGTTCCAAGGCAGACGATGCCCCCAGACCAGTCGCGCATTCTGGAACCCAACGAATTTCCTCAGGTAAAGACATCCGCATATTGGTTCCGGGCATTGTAGAAAACTTGAAACACAAGGGCATGCCGGAACACATGCTCGATCATGTGATTTTCAGATATATATTCCCACCATATGCCTTTTGCTCCCACCTAATAAATGGTGTTTCGACATCTTATTGAAGTCGGAATCTGAAGTCTGGGCTGTTTGGAATAGAAAATACCAGCACTTCAAACATCACTTCTGTTTCACATTTTGCAGCAGCCAGCACCATTTGCCGTCAGTAACTACCTCAGCTGACGCGCTGGCTGATGAGATAATGCATCAACGCGCCACACATGCCTCCATGGCGCCACCAGTGACTCCCGCTTCACATTTCACTCAAATCAGCTGTCCTCTACAACCAATTCAACATCGTTTAGTATGTGCCTAGAACCCTGGAATTTTCTCTTGTGCGTGTTGTGCAAGTGCAACTCAAACGCAGATGTTGCGCAAGTGCAACTCAGACGCGCGTACTGTGCCAGACAAGTGCTAACGCCAGGACTGACTGCTAGAATTAGCTCCAGTACGTTGGAAAATAGTTCACAAGATCTTTTCTTCTGCTCGCTGCGAATCCTGGCGCAGCTTTTTCTTTGAGCGGACTCTGTTCTTTTCTTTCCAAACAGCGCACTCCAGATGCTAACTACGATGGAAGAATCCAGCACACCCTCCTCAAACTCTCCTCTCGTGCCTGAATTAATGGCGTCGACGCAACTAGTACCAGCAAGCATTGCTCCTAGCCTCTCCTACTTGATCGCTGTACAGACATATGTACTGCAAACGATGCACATAATCTTCATTCTTTTGCTTAGAATTGTCCTTCAATTCGGAAAAGGAGCGCAATTAAGAACGCTCTTAATCTCCGCGGGTCTTCACACCATAGTGGATCGCGCTGACAGACTAGCCCTCGAGTCGCCATCGTTACTACTAACCAACGCTTCCTCCGTCGATACCCCTCCAGCCAAGCCTCTCCTGCCTCCTCGCGACGAGGGCGACAACGCGAGACTGACTGTAAGCTTTTCGTGAAGTTCTTATCCGAACCGTTGATATCACCCTGAAAAATCCCAACACGGAAATTCGTGTTCTGTTCTGGGCGAATTTATTTTGCTAAGCTCTCTGAACTGTCTGGACCTTAGGTTGGTCTTTAACTTCCAGTTGCGCATCACCTTTCCCATCCTCGCCTGGTTCTGCAGTCTTTTCGTAACTCGCGCGTTCCGTCTCATACCTTCCTCTTCCGTCTCTCCGTTACACCCTTTTTTTCCGTCTCCCTCCGTCTCCGTCAGATCGTGTTGGACCTGGACGAAACCCTAGTCTGCGCGTACAACGCGGAGGACGTGCCGGAATCCGTCCGTCAAGCAGCCGCCACCAGCGGCGTCAGTAGCTTCGAGCTCGAATGCTCCACAGCGGAACTCGTACGTCCGTTGTCTCTGACCCCTCTATAGTCAGTCCCTTTAAGAGTACTCGCAGTCCGGATACACTCAAGTTCCCGCTATAATCATTCTCGAAATATTCTCAGAGCCCCTCTTAATTGTACTCGATAGTGCGTGTCATGATTAGCCATGGGCCACTGGTGGCGCCCAACCTCTCGCCACCTCCCCGTGCTCAGGACGCAAGCGGGGAGCTGGAGAAGGCGCGGGTGACGGTGTTTGAGCGCCCAGGGCTGCGGGAGTTTCTTCAACGCGCCAGTTGCCTGGGCGAGCTCGTGCTCTTCACCGCCGGGCTGGAAGGTGCGGTGGGATGCGGTTGAGTGCAGTTGGGGTACGCTTGGGTGCGATCGAGTGCGGTTGGGGTACGTTCAGTTGCGGTTGAGCGGGGAACCGGAGAGGGAGCGGGTGACGGTGTTGGAGCACCCGGGGCTGCAAGAATTCCTCAGGCGCGCCAATCGCCTGGTCGAGCTCGTGCTCTTCACCGCCAGCCTGGAAGGTGTGTTGATGGGGTGAGGTGGGGTGAGGTGGAGTGAGGAGGGGTGAGGTGGAGTGAGGTGGGATGAGGTGGGGTGAGGTGGTATGAGTTGTTGTCTAATAGTGTTGCTGGCACCATGTCCCAATCCTGTGTGTGCTACGTTCGTGCGTGTGTGGCAGGCTATGCTCGGCCGCTAGTGGACAGAATCGATCCCGATGGGCTTTTCTCGGCCCGCCTCTACCGCCCCGCCACCGTCGCCATGTATGCATGCATGCACGCTGCACGCCCCTCATGTGCCTCACCTTGTGAAAACAATTTCTAAGAATAGATTGACTTTCTAAGAATAGATTGACTTTCACCACCGTCGCCATGTATGCATGCATGCACGCTGCACGCCCCTCATGTGCCCCACCCTCACCACCGTCTCCATGTACGCATGCATGCAGCATGCCCCTCATGTGCCTCTCCTTATACTATATTTGAGGCGCCTCAAAAATTGACGCCCCTCATGCGCCTCAGCCTCTCCCTTTTGTAGGCGTAGAATTGTATTTGCCTGTCATTGTGACCACCGACCGCTGCCCACAACCCCAACACCTAGCAACCCCCCTCCCCACTTCTTCCCCTCCCCCTCACCCTTCTGCCTTTCTACCCTCGTTTTTCTTTTGCATGGAACCCTCATCTTTCTATCCGAGGCAGCACGTGAAGGACCTGGCAGTGTTGGGGCTGTAAAAACAACCACCTTACACCGTCCCCATTCCCATTCTCCCCCCGTCTCGCTCTCACCCATTCTCGTTCCCAGAGGCACGAGGCAGCACGTGAAGGACCTCGGAGTGTTGGGGCGGGATTTGCGCCGCACGGTGATTTTAGACAACAACCCCTTTGCCTTCCTGTTGCAACCAGTTAACGGCGTGCCGTGTGTGCCTTTTTTCGGGGGCGAGGGGTCAGACAGGCAGGTAAGCGAGGGGTCGGACAGACAGGTAAGCGAGGGGTCGGACAGACAGGTAAGCGGTTGCTATGGGCCGGGCAGGCAGGGGAGTAGTGGTGGCTGCAGGCCATTTTGTGGAATTCTGAAACAGCTTTTCTTGCTCCTTTTTTTAGTTCTCAAGAGCGGTTGCTACGGGTTGGGCAGGCAGGTTAGCAGTGGTGGTTGCTGTACAAAACCCTGTCACTGCAAGCACATGTGCGCATATGGCACACATGTGCTTCCTCTCGACCCATGTCGAGACCCCTCCTCATGACGCACTTCCGCATGCCCCTGTGGCTGCATCTTCCTCCCCTCACTCACACTACCGTCCCCCTCCCCTCCCGCCACCCATCCTCCCCCCCGTCAGTTGCTGCAACTGCAAGTGCTGTTCCCATCCTCACTACTCGAGATCCTTTCCCTGCACCCAGACGTGCGCCCCTTCCTCTCCTTGCAGTTCCACTCCCCATTCCCCTTGCTTCTATCCTCTCCCCCCCCCCCAACCTCAGTTGCTGCAAGTGCTGCTCCCGCTGCTGGAAACCCTTTTCCTGCACCCAGACGTGCGTCCCTTCCTCTCTACTCACTCCCGCATGCCCCTTTGGCTCCATCCCCTTCCGCTCCTCACTCACACTACCCTCCCACACCCTCCCGCCCCCCTCCTCCCAGTTGCTGAAAGTGCTCCTCCCACTGCTGGAAACACTATCCCTGCACCCAGACGTGCGTCCCTTCCTCTCCACCCACTTCCGCATGTCCCTGTGGCTGCGAGCCCATGGGGTGCCGGTGGTCGACCACCACCCAACGTAGTCAGGGAGAGAGAAGAGCGACGTGCAGCTGTGGTTCTGCACTCGTGGAATGCCGGTGGTCAACCACCACCCAACGTAGGGGGAGATAGGTGGACAGCCACCCACTCAGCTCGGGCAGGGAGAAGCGCAGCGGTCATGCACCTGCAGCTGCAAGCCTGTGGGGTGCCGGTGGTTAACCACCATCCAATGTAGATAAGAAAGGCATGCTCACACTCCTGTAGCTTCAGTCCCTCTACACGGCAGCAGCCGACGAACTACACGGGCAATGATTAACACACGTCTGTTGGCTTCCATGTATCCTGTGTATATAGTTGATGTTCCCATTGCATTAGACCCTGTGCTGTGCCATCTAAAAAAGTTGATTGCTCTCAACATATGGTTTCTTTGCCCTTAAAGGCAGGGCAAGTCTATTGAAAACAACTACCGTATCTCAAACTAACCATACGGTACGTATTCCAGTAGCACCTGTATCATACATGCCAGTGGGGCGGTGGAGAAAGAACCTTCACAAGGAGACAGTCCCCATCATTACTCATGCACAGCATTTTTATTTATTCGACACAGCACGCTGTATTTTCAAATAACTTAGCCAATTTCTATTGATGTTAAGAACGTGCTCCTCCACAGCACCCAAGTCTACACCATGACCTGCCACGGTAAAGGATGCTGCAGAGAGGTTCTTTGCTGCCATCTGGACACGAAGGGGGGAGCGAATGGTGGGTGGGAGGGGGAGGGGTGGGACGAGAGAGGAAGGGAACACGGGAGATTGAGAAAGGAGATAAATACATTATCCTCTACAGCAGCTGAGAAAGGAGATAAATACATGATCCTCTACAGCAGCCAAGTCTTCACCATCAATGCTACGGAAAAGGATGTTGTAATGTGGACAAGAAGAGGGGAGGGGAGGGGGGAGGGGGGAGAGGGGATCGGGGATCGGGGAGGGGAAGGGAATGGGGTTAAGTGAGAGAAGGAGTAGGTGGATAACGGGGTAGCACAGAGCACAGAGCATAGCAGCGCAGATGGACAAAGAGCTGAGCTAAGCATTACAGAGGATGAGAAAATCAGTCGGGCATGCAATGGGGCAATCGAGGCAGGAGGTGACGCACACTCACATGACAACACAGCAGCCACACACACAAACCATCACCGGCATACCTGCAGGGCCTTCAGCACATGCAAGGCATCCAATGGCCACCCCTCCAACCTCGTGAAAGTAAACTTCTATTGGTATGGCCGCAGCCACACACACAAACCCTCTCCACCATACCTGCAGGGCCTTCAGCACATGCAAGGCATCCAACGGCCGCCCCTCCAACCTCCCACCCCCCTCAACCTCATGCTCCCCTCGTCCCTCCGTCCCTCCTCGCTCCCCTTGTTCCTCTGCCCCACAATTCGCCACTTGCTGCTGCTTCCCCTGCAGCAAACCATCGCTCGTCCCTACTGCTGCTGCCTCTGATCCTGCCAGCATCAGCTTGCCACGAAGTGTAATCCTCTTGGTTTCATCTCCCCCATGCCCTCTTACTGATTCCGGCCCTGCCAGCATCAGCAAACCACCAAGTGTAATACTCTTGGTTTCGTCGGCCCCGTGCCCTGATTTCGATCCTGCCAGCATCAGCAGCTGATTCAGCCGCCTCCTCCCTTCCTCTGCTGCCGCCACTCCCTCTCTCACTCCCACTGCTGCCGCCCATTCTGCCGCCCGCAGGGAGTACTGCGCATGCCGCGCCAAGTGCACCGCTGACGTCGCTTGTTGAACTGACGCCTCAGCCTGACACGTGGCAGGGCGGAAAAAAGAGAATGTCAGAGAATTTGGTGCCTGGTCCGTCGGCACCTGACTCATTATTGATACACCTGGATGCATTCTAAGAAAATAAAAGAACTCTTGTTTCCCACGCATTCTGCTTTGCCTCTATCGCTCTCAACTGCTTCACACCATTCGCTTAAGACCGTACCAAGTGTGACAATTACAAAATGCCAGATCACCTTCCTGCATCTTTCGCTGGCGCGCGCAACCCTCATTTCCAGTGCATCCCGCTCCGCCTCCAGCGCTTTCATCCGCGCGTCGCTTTCCGCCACCTCCGCCGTCACCGCGCGCAGCTCTGCCTTCCGCCACAGCTCGTCGATACCCCCCGCCGCGGACGCATCATCAGCAGCAGCATCACGAATTGCACCACTCGCGCCATTCATGGTAATACGAAGTTCATCGTTCGCGACAGATGCACCGTCCGCACTACCACGAGGCGCCAGCTCGTCGCCTAATGAGCGTGGATTAATTGCTAGGGCGTCAGAGTCAGCATACCGTGGTGACGCAAGTTGAGGTCCCTCATCAGCAATACGCGTTGGTGAGGAGATTTTACGGCCCTCGGCAGCAGCATGCGGTGGTGAAGACGTACGCTCGGCAGCAGCAGCACGTTCAGCAAAATCTTCATCCACGTCGCCCAGCTTCGCGCGCTTCGGGAACGGCTGGTCTTCGGATTCGCGACATGTGGATTGTCGCCGGCGATGTCGCTCCTGAACGGGCTCGTCGCCATCAGCGGACCCGTGAGGGCCAGATTGAAACGCGAGATGCGGGTGTTGATGTTGATGTTGATGTTGCGTGTGGACCTCGAATGCGTGCACTAGCGACGCGACGACGCCTTTCGCGGACGGCGGAGGAGGAGAAGAGGGAGCAGCCGCGGATGAAGCGGCAGGCTTCGCTGCTCCCGATTCTTCCTTCAAGAGCTCCATCCGGAACGCACTAAGCGAGCCGAGCTACGGGAATGCTGACATAACCCTCCACTGAATCCTATCTGTTTGTGTAGCGAGTGGGCTCAGAAATACAAAATTACAGCGGGATTCATAATTTTTGAGTGGTTCCATTCATATTTACAGAACCCGACTTTCTTTGCACCGCCCTTTCAACAACAAATGTCAGTACAGCTAGCTTGAAGATCTGGATTAAAATGTTCCATAGCACTACTCATTCATGCAAGTAACACAGGACTAGGCAAAGAGCTACTAGAAGAATAACATTGGCATATCCCAGAAGGGATCAACTTGCACGGAGACAAGAAAAAGCCAAGGTGGAACCACCTATGCACAGAAGCGCTGCTGCCGAGTTCAAAATGGCGGGTATGCTACGAGCCGCCTAGAGACTACATTCGGGCAGGAAAAAAACGGCAAGAGCCATGAGCCTGCACGAGAGAAGTCTCTAAACTAAAAGCACACTCGCCAAAAAAGGCACTCGCCTCGCCTACAGCGAGAGCGTAAGCTCCGGAAGAGGGGAGTTTAGATCCGGAAGGAAGGACCCTTCCAAACACTGTTCCACCTCGGAGCACGCGCTGCTGGTCTGGGGGGCCAACGCAGCAGCAGCCACTGGAGCAGAGTTAAGATCGAATTCCACCTTCGGTTTCACAGCGCGATCCATCCAGTGCACTTCGGATCGGCTCCTCTTGGAAGTTGGTCTCTCGCTCAATACAGAAGATGAATCGCCGACCTGGCTGATGCTCACGTTTTCCGAGACGGCCGAATGGGAGGGTGACTTTGACAGGTTTTGTGGAACAGCACCACCGCGCTTAGCAGTCAAAGCCGCGAACCGATTCTTAGCAGCGTTGTCGGTCCTGGAATACGCATGGAAATAGTAGACATTAGAACAAAAACACGTATGCGGGTAACTCAGCAGAAAACCTGAGGGCGAAGCGGGTAATGGGTGAGTGGGAGGTAAGTACCTTCCAGGAACCATGCGAGCAATTTCAGTCCAGCGGTTGCCGTAAAGGCGGTGACCTTCCAAAAGCTTCTCATCCTCCTCGGGTGTCCACACCCCCTTGTTACCCATGGCGTTCAGAAACGCTTGCCACCTGCGACGGCACTGCTTGTTCGTCTTGGTGCGGATCTTAGAAGCAACAAGGGCCCACTTGTTCGTCCCATGCTGGCGGATCAGCTCCTTCAGCAAACAATCCTCCTGCAAGAGAAAAATTACCCTATAATAAGATCCGGAATATGCGAGGGTATTATTGACACATCGACAGATTCGAAGAAAATATACCTTGTCAGTCCAGGTGAGGCGAGGACGAGCGTCCGACGCGAGCGAAGGAAGAGGGACATCGGTCTGAATCCCAGACATGTTATGAAGTTGCAGAAGCAAGTTAACGTCAACGGGAAGATACTGGCCCGACAGTGCCGTGGCCGCAGCTGCAGCAGCCTGAATCTGCTTAAGCTGCAGCAAGTTCTGTTGGCCGAAAATAAGTTGAGTACCCATCAAGCTCTCCATGCCGCCCTTCTCCACGTGGATTGACACGTGAAAAAAAAGGTTGGAATTACACAGCCGCTGTTGTTGCACGGGATTTTCTGCTGAAGCTGAAGGTGAAGGCTCCTCAGCGAAAATGAACGAAACGTGCACTTCGAAGAAATTAAAGGAATCCCCACAGAGGTCGCAGAAAACCTCTGTAACGCTGTCAGTGACAGCGAAAAAAAGAGGCCGGGTTCTTAGGTCGTCGTCAGCACGAGAAAGCCAGTTCGTCTAACTAATCCAGGGACAAGGGCGGCACAAGGAGAGCTCTGGTGATGGGTGAAGGGTTCCTAAAGTTTGCAGCAACGTAAATTCAGACAGCCGCGGAATGAGAAGGTGAAGGTTTTGTAGCCAAGGGAAAGCAGCTTGCTTGCCGAAATCAAGAAGGGAAAGTGGGAGGGAAGGGTAAGTCCGACCGAAGGGATGGAAGGAAGGGTAAGGGGAGCGGTACGGGAAGGGGGGAAAGGAACGGGGAAGAGAAGGGGGCAGGGATGGGGCTGGGCAGTGAGGAAACCCTTCATCTGGCAGTAAGAGCGTGTTACACCCAAGCAAAGATTGCTGCATTTTGAGGATCACGTAGGCGATCCTTACAGAACAGTGTCATACCTACCACTGTACAGTAATCACTGTGTCAGGTGATGTACCAACAGAGGAAGGATCGAATTCACGAGTTCCTTTTGCTACCCGATCTTGGTGTTTTCTGAGAGATCATGGTGACTGCCAATCTCTCGGTGATCCTTGCATCTTTGTACCAAAGACAAGGTGATCCTTGACGACGAAACACTTAATCTCGCAAATTGCTGTAACAACATCGCGACTAATCGGAGCATTCTTTTGATGGATTTCGAACCAATGAGGCTGTTGATTTCGGGTCAGTAACGCAGTCAACATGGTCAATGAAAATATCAATGATCGCGACTGTCGCGTCGTTTCAGGCGACGTCGCCTGGTCGCAGAGGATCACCATTGCAAATTTGCAGATGGTACACCAACAAGGATCGTGATGTGCCCCAAAAACATGTTGTTTGGCCACTCGTAATCCTAAGAGCGTGTTACACCTGCCCTATATTCAAAGATCACGTTGTTGAGATCACTGTCACCCCAATCCCAGGTTTATGAGCGGTCAAACAACAAGTTTTTGGGGCACATGACGATCCTTGCAGGTGTACCATCTGCAAATTTGAGGTGGTGATCCTCTGCGACGAGGCGACGTCGCCGGAAATTACGCATCGTCGCGAGCTTTCGAAATTTGCATTGACCATTTTGACCGTGTTACAGACCAGGACGCAACCGCTTCATTGGCTCGAATCTCCTTTTCAAAACGTTTTGATTAGTTGCGAACGTGTTACCGCTGTGCAATACCATTGCGACAGCCTGTTTTTTCGTCAACAAGGATCACCCTCCGAGTGGTACAGAGATGCAAAGATCGCCGTGAGATTGGTAGTCACCACGATCTTTTCGGAAACGCAAAGATTGGGTAGCGTAGACTACGCATGATCTCGATCCTCGCTCTGTTGGTGCAACACCTGGTACAGTAATTACTGTACAGTGGTAGGTAGGGTACTGTTCTGCAAGGATCGCCCAAACGATCCTTCATTTGTCACGATCTTTACCTGGGTGTACCACGCTCTACGGTTCTGGTGTTGGTGATCTCAGCTACGTGATCCTTGAAAATAGGGCAGGTGTAACACGCTCTAAGAAAACGCGGAGGGAGCGAGCGGGTTGTGTTGTTGGCTGTGGGAGGGAACTGTAGTGCACAGTTTTGGTTGGAGCGATTGCTGCCCTCCACCTTTCTGAGTTTCACAAGAATCTGTCACCACGCGCTCCCCAGTTGGCACTTTTTTGGGGCACCACCAGCCCACGGGACTGCTTTTCAGTCACGAAGCATCCGCAGTACACACGATGCCCGGTTGAGCCCCCCGACCTCGCCTTACCCTCTGGGCTTATAAGCGATTCTCGCTTCGCTTGAAGATTTCGTCAATTCGCATCGGGCAAAAAGGGCTTATAAAAAACAATTGTAACTCAACGCTGACTGTTTGACTTTGGTCTCGTCAGTCAAACTTCAGTTTCTGTGGTTCGTATTGGTCGACGTGCTTGAAATGTGGGTGCAACGTCACGGCACAAAACCCACGGGTGCAAGGTTTCCACTTGGAGAAAGGCAGTTTTGCGTGCAGGAGGTGAGCATCAGGTGTAAGTCGAGGACGCCCGCGGCCAGCGCAGCAACAGCGGAGAGCTGGGTTGAGATGGGATGTGGCAGCCCCTGTCATCACATCTTTCACGCTTGGAGTTGTGCTGACCACAGACAGAATGATTCCACATTTGTAATGATGATCCTGCGCTAAAGAACATTCGCAGGAAGTTTCTCAATAAGAATTTGCTACAAAGTTGCAAACGTCTAATCCGCGGGATGGCCAAAAGAAACAAGGAGCTCCAATAAGGATAAATTGTCGTCTAAATTTACTCATACCGAGTGACTTCCATAAGCAGATGTGTGCACTGAAGTTCAGTAATCCAGTTACTTCGAGAGAAATTTGTTGGGAAAGTATGTGCTGGCTACCTGGTTATTGAAACTTCAAATTTCATCCGAGGTTTTACTCCAAACTACTACTTTCGGGGAATTCGTTCAAAGCACATCCCAGATTATGTTCACGACTCATACTGCGAGGCAAAGTTTTCGACACGTGTCCGTTTCCTACCCCCGACAAAAACTAAAACCCTCTCGGAAAGGGATGCGACTCACTGAGTGGGTTCCCGTGTTTAGCGTTGATCTCTCCCGAAAATGCCTCCAGGTTCAATATTGGTTTTATATTTTTGGGCTGCCCTATCAGTTTGAGCTGGGAAAAACAAAATTCAAAATGGACACGTGTCGAAAACTTTAGCCTGCAGTACCAACCTCGAACGTAATGTGGGATGTCGCTTGAGAGAAATCCCATTGCGTCGCACTGTTTGAGTGAACCCTGTGACTACATAGGAGAAAATCTGGAAAACCAAGTAGCCAGCAAATACTCTTCCAAATTTGTTCAGTAAAGTCCTTCAAGCGTTCGATCTACTGTTCCGTGATGACAAAACTCTCTTTTTCCTCGGCAGTTTCGGAACCAAGTCTCCACTTCCCATCACGTGATCACGAGTCGGTCATAGCTGTCATTGGCTTGATGAGGAACAGCCTTATCCTCATGCATTCACACTAGTTGTCGTTGTGGCACGTGGACGGCGGCTAATGTGCGCCCCAGTGGCCCATGTGTCCGCCTCTCAAGTCAAAACACCCCAAGCACGCCACATAAGCAACAGCCCGCTGCTATGACTGTGCATGGCAAACGGTTCTAGGCCAGGCCAACCACATCACTGCTGTAGGATGGATTCAGATATACACTATTCACTGTCCAACTCCTAGTCTATTAGAAGTACCTCAATACACTTCACAATCCTTTTCAGCAAAGGATCTTTTTGTTATGACGAGTAATTCTTAGCAGGAGGAACAGGAACAGGACATTCTATTTCATTCTTAAGAGCGACATCACAACCAAGCATCATGTATCCTGCGAGACTACTCTCTTCCTTCGTAATGGAAACCGCAATACAGCAGCGGGTAAGGCCTTCTGCCTTCTTCTGGTGCTGCAGTGCGCACAAACCCCAACTAGGCAGGTCGCATATGGAGCAGGTGTTTACTGGGGAGGGGCAGCCTCCCAGCCACCGGGGGCAGCAGCGTCCCAGCCAGCCCCGGGCACACCAGGCACGGGGGCAGCAGCTGCATCCCAGCCTGACGACACCGCAGCAGGAGCACCCGCAGCAGGGGGAGCAGCAGCATCCCAGCCACCAGCAACAGCCGGCACAGCACCTGCAGTGTTGGGAGCGATAGCAGGGGAAGTGGGATGGGGAAAATGGGTTGCGATACCTATGCCTTTTTTATTGAATATTCGAATGTGTGTCTAGCAGGTGTGTGACTGCTCAATATGCAATAAAAAAGAGCCCCCTTAACTGATTACTAAGTCTGTGTGAACAGTGTGTGCGACCTCTTATCACCCAAACCCTTAGCAGTCACCAAAACTCTGTTTCCCCGCCAAAACCCCATTCCCCCGCCAAAACCCCGTCTCCCCGCCAAATTCCATAACCCTCCCTTTCCAATCTATGCCATCCTTCCCCGCCTAAACCCCTCTACCCCACAGCACGTACCAGCAGGGGCGGCAGCAGCAGCGTCCCAGTCACCAGTGGGAGCGGCAGCATCCCATTGCCCCTCCGCGATCTGGGGCACGGCACCGAACTCAACCGCTCCGAACTCCGCCGCAACGCCCTCCTCCGGCTGCTCTTCCTTGGTCTCCTCAGGGTCGCGGTAGAAGAACAGGTCCACCTGCGCGTGACAATAACGGAACGGGACAGCGCGGGAGTGGGAAGATAAGGAGGTGGAGGAACACAGAATTAGGCACAGCTGATGGGGTGTCGCAGTCTCTGGAAAAACGCTTGCTCGCAAGCATCGCTCTGCACCCAGTCGCATCCTTCCCTGTAACATTCCAACTGCTGCTTCTGTACCGTCCGCTGCTGTGAATGTGGCTGCTACTACTACTACTATTACTGCCCTTCCTCCCACCCACTGCTCCTCCTGCTCTTCCTCCTGCTGCTGCTGTTACTGCCGCTGCTGCTGATACTACTGGTACTGATTCTGATGGTACTGATGCTAACGCTACTGGTACTGCTACAACTGTAACTGTTGCTACTGGTACTGCTGATACTGGTACTGGTGCTATTGTAACGGCGTTATTTGCCCTCAAAAGGGCAGTAGCGTCAACTGGCTTTGAATAATAGCAATCGGAACTGTATTGCCGTGTGCACCGTGTGCGCCGTGTGCGCCGTGTGCGCCGTGTGCCATGTGTAATCTGCCGACCTCCCACCCCTTCTCCATCCACGCCCCTTCTCCATCCACACCCTCCTTTTCGCCTTGCTCTCACCACCGAATCACGTTTCCAATACCCCCTCTCGCCTTCTAGCTCGTCCCGAGGCGCCTCGAAGTCAAATCCCCTGTACCCCATTGGCAGGCGTGGTAACCAGGTCACATCCTGGCCGCACATCAACATCACCAAAACCCGTTGGGTGATTCAACCCGAGACCCCAAACCACTTTTCTTCCAACACTCTCCCTGCTCTCACCCCGCTCCCTCCCGTCAACCCCCGTCCCCTCGCCCCGCTGATTCCCTCCCCCTCATCCCCCCTTCCCCTCAAGCCTTCCCCACATCCCCTTCTCCCCCGTACAACGACTCACCATGACGTCCCAGGGCTGGCTGGGCAGGATCAAAGTTTGAAGCGCCTCAAAGTTCACCCCCAACCCCGTCCTTCCCCGACCTCCCCCCTCTCCCCCTTCCCCCCCCCCCTACAGCGACTCACCATCACGTCCCAGGGCTGGCTGGGCAGGATGGAGCCGCGCATCTGCAGCACCATGCGCGCGAGCAGCCAGTAGAGACACCCGATGGAGTGCTTCGCGCGGTTGTTGGCGGGGATGCCCAGGTCCACGTACCGCATCGGGCTGTCCGTATCGCAGAACGCAATAGTGGGGATGTTGCTCAGCGCCGCCTCGGCCGCGGGCTGAATACGCGGAGGCGGAGTTGGGGGAGATGCGGGGAGGCGGGGACGCGGGGAGGAGGGGGGCCGGGGGCGGAAGGGGGAGGGGAAGGGAAGGAGGGAGAGGGGGAGGTGGGCGTAAGGGGGGAGTAAAAATAGGGGATAGGGGAGAGTGGAAGGTGAGAGGGGATCCCCAAGTCCATACACCGACTCATGGTACCACTCATGGTGCCACTCATAGTTCCACTCATTCGCAAGGAAGCTTCGGATTCTGACCGACTCGGTTGCAAGCCGATCACTGTGCCAGCTCGCTACGGGCTTGTTTAGAAGGGATGGGAGAGACGGAAGGAGGGGTGGGCAGGGCGAGGAGAAAACAGGGACGCGGCAAGGCAGGGAAAGGTGACTTTTGAGTCGACTCGGCACGAGGGAGTCGAGTGAAAAAGGGAAGGGAGGAAGGGAAAAGGAGGGAACAAGACAAGGGAAGGAAGATAAATGAGAGCGGAGAAAAAGATGATATAGAGGGGGGGAGAAAAGGAGAGGAAAAGGAGAAGGGAAGGGTGAGAGGGATACGGGGGTGGGTGGCGGTAGGAGGGGAGGAAGAAGAGATAACCTACTCTGGTACACGGTCAACACGGTCAACGGCATACCTGGTGGTCAACGCGCGGGTCGGTGAGGACGAGCAGGCGCGGCTCGCTGAAGTTGTTCTGCAGCTGGTTGGTGAAGGTTCCGGGGGTGTGGCGGCCCGCGATGGCGTTGGCGCCCGTGTACTGCGCGAACTTGAGCACGGCGCGCTGCCCGTACGGCCGCGCCGACTGCACGCAAATGTCCTGCGGGTTCTCGATCGCGACAATCACGCGCGCCGCCATCTGCAGCTTGTCCCACGTCTTGGCCAGGTTGATGATGAACACACCTGGGCATGAGAGAGCGGGAGGGGGGACGAAGTGGTGATTGGAGGCAGGAGGGAGAGGAGATGAAGCGGACGCGCTCCACACGCAGAGCCATCTGCAGTGTGTCCCACGCCTTGCGAGGCTGTTGATGAACACGCCTCGGGTTGAGAACGGGATAGAGAATGCGCGGGAAGGGGGGCGGGGAGGGATTGGGCAGAGGGGGGAAGGGGGGGTGGGTGGTGGAGGGGGATGTCAGCGGGGAATACAAGGGTGATTTAGTGGCAAATCACCTTGACGGTTGACGATAAAGAACCTTGCCAACGCGTGAAAGGTAGCGAAGAGGGCACCATGGGATGGCATTGGATGATATATTTCTCCTAAACACAAAAATTAGCGTACAGAGAAAAGCAGACAAGTGGGAATGGGAATCCCGTCCCGTCACACCTTGTGAATTCCTGCGAGATGAGGTCCGCGCGCGAGCCGGCAAAGCTAGCTTTTGATGCGGATTCTAGACTCGTGACTTGGTAATAAGAAGTCAGAAAACATACCGCTTAAAAATCCCCTAAGTTCCATTCTGGTAAGGCTTGACGCGGTAACTAGTAAATTAAATTACTAATGGCTCCAGAAAAGTAGGAACTCCGAGCTCTTCGAACCAGGAGTTCTTGTCAGCCTGGGGTCTGCTACGCCTGCTGAAACGCCTTTCCGCGAGTCCGGCCCGTCGACCACTCTCTAGCAAAGGATTTTCGCGAATTACGCGCGTCCTCGCATCGAGATCCCATGGTGAAAGGAAAAGCAGGGTTCGGAAACTGCACTTCAACCTCCCGACACTGCTGTCTTCACACTACAATGTCCTTCTCCAACCTCTTGCGACGATCTCTTGCGAAGACCCCTTGCGACCTTCGCAGAGGTGAATCTGTGTCTGTCGCAGCAGGCTACCCGCCGGGAACTCGCAAGACTCTAAACGACGCACGCTCCGTGATTGTGCGCCTCGAATACTCGCCAGCACGCGACGCGCGAATCACTTCGAATCGTGCACTTCGAATCGTGACCACCGTGCGACGTGTCGAATAGGTCGAGTACGCTATCATCTGGGCCCTCCTAAAGTCACTCCTTCCCACCATTTCATCCAATCCCCCTCTCCCACCCGTATCCTTCCTCTTCTTGATCTATCCTAATGCTCGTTGATCCATAACTGCTCGGTCTAATCCGCATACTAAGACCTGGCCATGATGAAGACCTTCGTATCTAGTCAATCGACCTAAGATCGTCCAAGCCCCTGCGACAGCGACAGCATCCTCATGCGCGCCAAGCCAAACCGCGTCTGATGCGCTATAAATAATAGCGCTACTCCCCACGAGCCGCCGAACCTCGTTACCACTCCAAACCCTAACGCGCGTTTCCGATCAGTAATGCTGCGATCGCGAACCCCGCCGACACGCTAACACGGCAGGGAAGCGCACCAGCATCACAAACCAGAATCCACGGCGCTAAAACTACAGAAACACGGCGGACGTACCGTCCGCGCCGCGCTTCCAGACGTAGCGCTCCATCTGGTAGTTGCAGTTCTTGGTGCCCAGGTGCACCTTCGCCGCGAGCATCATCTGAATATCCGCCTCCCTCTGTGACAGCGCCATGGCTGCACGCTTCGCGCTACGGCTAGGGAAAGGGTGAAGGGAGCAAGGGAGGGGAAAGATCTCCTTAGCAGGAAGAGAGGAAAAATCAGGAGTGAATGCGAGCTAAGAGGTAGCACGGTGAGAGGGAGGGGGAGGGGGGAGGCAGCGTGGTGGTGAGGTCAAACCGACGGGCGGGGATGGAGGAAATCAACGGGGGGTCTGGGGAATGAGTGCTGGAAATGGGGGAACGGCGGGATCGGGGGGATGGGGGAATGGGAGAAAATGTTGACATACGCGGAGCCACCTGGGTTTGATTCTGGTTTCCCTGTCGGGAAAACTGGGCTTCGCTAATTTGCCTGCTCGTGCATTGCTTTGGCTGGGAGTGATGAACTGGGCTTAGCGTGCAGCAGCATAACATAAAAACAAAATATGGTAAAAATGCAATGTATTTTACCATACGAGCTGTCTTTTTTTTGTTAGAAGGAAACATGTATATTCCTCACTTAATTCCATCCTTAAACTGCAAGAATCTTATGATCTCAGTGTTAAGATAAATCAAGATACTGTAACATTTATTCAATAGAAATGATCTATCAGATATCTATAATGCTTTTCAGAATGCCTGCACTTTTTTTTTTTGGCAATGTAAGTTACACTATAGTAGCGCATACAAGCATTAACAGTCGTAACTGTAGCTGATGGGCCTAGACAGCAGCCTGCCATCCTGACAGCTTAAGGGGGATGGAAAATCGTGCGCGGATTGGCCCAGATGGATGTGAAGCCACTGGTCCACGCAAGCGACTTTGCCGTGTTGTCGCAGATCTTGCTCAGCAAACGAAACTCGTCCGGGTCCAACCGCTCTAGGATAGAACGCTGCCCCGGCCCCAGAAAATTTCCTGCCCGTTTACTCCCTTTCTTACTCCGAAGATAAATCCTCGTGTGGGTGTAAAAAGCCGCCGCAATCCTTCTCAACACCCTTTTAGACCGAAACCGCCCTCTCTCAAAAACTGCGTCACACCTTTCAACCGAAATCTTGTGTAGAGCGATAGCCGTGATTGTAGATTCTGGGAAGCCCGAGCACGAGCCCTCCTTTTGGTAAAGTAGGTCCCCCAACGAAGATATTTTCCTGCCCGGGTTGATGATCCGAAGGGCCTTCAGCAACCCCTGCACCACTGGCTGGATCCGCGGGCAACTGAACAAACAGTGCTCTGCTGTCTCCTCCTCCCCACAGTGCGGGCACGCTACCTCCTCCAGAAACTTCAGCCGTACCCCGACTTGCAGGTTACGACAATGAAGGCGAAGCAGGACGTCAAGTGCTCTGTTCGGAAGCACCGCGGAGTCCCGCACCCTGATGATCCTCTTCCAGTCAATTGCGCTCCCCCACTCCTCTGACCACCTCTCTTGCTGCTGCATCGCCCCTTGCTGCGCGCCAAAAAGTAGCCTTAGTTGCTTGAAAGGGGGGAGCCGGTCGTCCATGCAGAGCTCCGAGCAGCGCAGCCGCACCTCGGGCAGACCACCCGCCCCAATCACTCTTCCGCCTCTCACCATCACCGGCTCCACCTTGTCCAGGGCGAGAACCGCAGATATCTCCGCCCCTCCCACCAGGGGTACAGCGAAACAGTCGCATGCTCGGCAGGCAAGGCCGCCTTGCACCACCTTCTCAGCTTTCCAAACCCCCACTAGGCCTTTCTTCTTCACGAAGACCGACTCCGCCAGAAACTCTTCCCCGGTGATCGGCGCTATCAGCTTCTCCTTCCAGGCTTCTGGGACACTAGCGAAAGCTCTGAGCGCCTTTCTCGCTTTTTTAAGCGTACCCAATTCCTTCGCCAGCAGCTTCTCCTCCTTGAAAAAGAAGGCACCATCTTCCGCTCGGCCGACGAAATCACCAAGCTTCAGAAGCTCCAGCCCATTTGCCGCTTCCTGCCGTCCGAGTGGCTTCTTTCCATTCGGCAAGATCTGCCGATTGTACACCAGTGGCTCTTGCGCGATATCCCAGCGCGAGACCGGACCCTTCTTTGCAACGCTCGACCGCATAAACATTTCGCAGGTCTGCTTCCACCTGACGCTCTTGCCCTCCCATGCTTTCAGGTATTCCGGGTGTGCCCAGAAGGATCGGAAACCAGCAGGGAGGTCAGCCGCCTTCGTCGCCAGCCAACTGCGCACGCCTCTTCTGACCAAGACCAGCTTTCCCACTCTCCTGGCGGCCAGGCCACTGAGCTCATCGAAGGGATCGCGCACCCCCAGCCCACCGTCCTTCCGAGGCCTGAAAATCAGCTCCCTGCTCCAGAGCGTGAAGTGGCGCTCCGTCGACGCTTTGTTGCCAGAGATGAAGTTAACCAGAAGCTTCATAATCCGCCTCCATACTCCGTCCGACGGGGGGTAGACCTGCCCCTGGAACGCCAAGATCGGGCAAACATAGGCGTTAACAACCGCCACCCTCGCCGTCGTCGTTAAGTGGTGAGACTGCCACTTCACCAGCTCCTCCGCTGCCCTTGACAGCGCCTTGTCCCAGGTAACCTCTGCGCTCCCAGACGGGGACACCCAGACTCCCAGCAACCTTTCCGCTTCCTTTGGGTCGACCCACGTGAAAACTGACCCTTCACTCTTTTCCTCATTCAGGTTAGCACCCACCGGGAGCAGCGCCGATTTCTCTTTGTTGACCCGGAGGCCGGAGCGAGCACCGAACTCCTCCAGCAGCTCCTCTGCTTTCTTAATCTGCCGCTTCCCCTTCAGCACGAGCGTCGTGTCGTCCGCGTAACCCAGGTAGGCCAGCCTGTCGCCATAGTCGTCACATATCCCTAACTTTCTGCGTTTCGCTTCTTGGCAGAGCGGCTCCACCGCGCACAAGAAGAGGTAAGGAGCCAGCGGACAACCCTGCCGAACCCCCTTGCGGACGTCGACCCGATCACCTAGCCAACCATTTACAAGCAGGCGGGTGAAAGAGCCGTCATGCAGCCCCTCACACCATCGAACAAACTTGCTCGGGAACCCCATCAGCGTCATCGTGTCAAACAGGAACGTCCTCGACACGGAGTCAAACGCCTTCTGAAAATCGATCATCAGCAGATACCAGTCTTCCCTGTCGTTATTCGCAGCTTCTATCACGTCGGCAACCGTCGACACGGCATCCGAGAGCCGCCTGCCCGGTAAGAAACCGTGCTGCTCCTCTGAGATGACCACGCCCAGCACACGCTTCATGCGGTTGGCCAGCAGCTTCGCGACCACCTTGTAACAGCTTGACAGCAAGGTGATCGGTCGGTAATTCTGCACCTGCTCTCTTGGTCCTTTCTCGTGCAGCAGGACCGTCACCGCCTCCTGCACTTCCTCCGGAAGAACCGCCGTGGATTCAAATTGCTTAACAAAACCCATGAAGTCATCCTTCAGCAGGTCCCAGTGGCGTTCGAAGAGTTCTTTTGGAAGACCATCACCACCCGGTGACTTGTCACACGCCATCTCTTTCAACGCCTTTCTTACTTCGTCTTCCGTCCAGTCCGCTTCTAACTCCGTTTTCTCCCGCTCTCGCAATGTTTTTAGTGGATCCGGCTTCCAGCAAGGCAAGCCCGACAGAGGAGCCTCCGCGAACAAGTCCGCATAGAAACGGGAAGCGGCTTCCAGAATGCCCCTCGTGCCTCTCTGCTCCACCCCTTGCGAGGACAGAACCGTGATCATTGTGCGCGATTTCTTCGACTTCACTTTCGCCGAGAGCACTCCCGACGCAATCTCACCCTTTGCTTCCTCCTTCACCCCCGCCAGGAGGTGGAGCCTGTCATTCTCCCCTTTTAGATATGCCGCCAGCTGCGATTCCTTCTCCGCCAATTTCACACGGAGGTCGTCCCGTCGGGGATTTCTCATCAGTTCTTGCTGCATGTCAGAAACTGCAAGCTCCAGGTGACGCAAAGTTGCTCGCACCCGTTTCCGTTCTTCCGCCGCATAACGCCTTAGCGCGGCCTTGAGCTTGGCGAGGAGGCCACCAAAACTGCGCGAGGCATCCGCATGGTGCCTTTCAGTAACCGCCTTAATCACCTTCTCCACCCCTGGTTTCGCTGTTTCTGCAGATGGGAGCCGCCAGATACCTGGACCCATATGAAGTCTCAGGTTCGCCTGCAGCACCACCTTGACGCCACACTTATGATCCGAGATGCCCCTCAGTGAGCGGGTGTGGACCGCCTCCACAACCGAGGGGAGCAGCTCCGCCGATACTAAGATGCGGTCAATCCTGGAGCTCGACTTCGTCGCCCCCGCATAGAAGGTGTATTCACGGCCGCTTGGATTGAGCGACCTAAACGCGTCCATCATGTGCAGGCCAGCGAACAACTGCAGCATCCTCGCATTCTCCCCAGACGAACCCCCCGTCGGGGACCTGTCCAGGGTCGGGTCCTCCACAACATTAAGGTCACCTGCCAGCAGCAGCTTGCCGCTGCAGTTCAGCCCCGACAGGAACGGACCCAGCTCGTCCCTGAAGAAGGTGACTCTGTTACACGCACTCGCCGGAAGATACGCCGCTAGTACCGCAAAACTGAATGTGTCCCACCGTACTTCAGTATGAATGAGCCTCCCCGAGGCATGCGTCGTGATATTCTCAAAAGTTAACTGTTTATTGTTGCTGACAATCGCCACTCCCCCAGCCCTGTCCACGTTTGTCACCGCCAGGCAGTGGTGAAATTTCAACCGTTTCCAACAATCATGATCTGGAGCAACCCTTGTGTCTGTAAGGATGTAGATATCCGCTTCCTTCTTAGTCCACTTTTTCAGGTTCCGTTGCTTGCCTCTACTCCCGAGCCCATTGACATTGAGCTCACACACCGTCAGTTTGCAGGCTTTATCCATTAATCAACCAGGCGGGAGCCCCATAGCATCCACGGGCTGGAGAAAAGCATCTGAAACAGAACACGTTAACACTATATGGCACTGCATACATCGCATACAAGTTACGATCTAACATGAACCACTCTCTCTCTCCCCTTTTTGCAGAGACTCCCCTCAGATCCCGTATTCCTTGCGCAGCACACGAAGATTCAGCTTGTCTTTGAGCACACGCGTGACTGCACCTTGCTTCACCACTCCTCCCCGGTGGCGCTGGGAGAGCGCATGGTGAGCAGCCTGGTCAAAAGAGGAGCCCTTCGCCTTCTTGCAGCACTCCAGCAGGCATACCCACTCCTCCCTGTTCCCCGCCGTTGAGACCAACACCAACGCAGGGTCCTTGAGGATAATTTTGGTCGTCGTTGTGGCTACAGTCGCAGCCGCTGCACGGATGGGAGATACGCAGCTGGAAATCAGAGACCGCCGACAGCAGAAAAGAAGCGACAGCGTAAGCAGCAACAAAAGGTAAGCAAGAAACACCGTCTCTACCGTTGAGCTCCTGGATCCTCCCCACTGTGAGGTTCCACTTGGAGATGTTGTTCTGCCTCTCGATGACGAAGTCATTGTGGTTATGCACAGAGTGCATACCCCCGCAGAGAGAACACTTCAGCGCCGGGTAGTGCACCAGGATCTTCGACCCAGGTGAGATCGGGCTTTCAAACTGATGCAACCATCGGTACTGGTCGTTCTCATGGGCGACGACCAACCCCTTCACCCGGTCAGTGTCAAGCCCCGAAACCGGATGTACCACGCGGTGGAAGTGGAAACCCTCCTTGAAGGCCGGACGCTTGCGGATGTTCAACGGCGAGACAGCCAGTGCTTCATGCAGCATCTCCGGGGAGATTTCCGCAGCAACACCGAGGAAAAGCACTTCAATAACAGCCGGGTCAGTGATCTTCCTCCTTGTGTACCCTGGGTCTTCCGGATAAAGCCAGTCCAGGAAGATGTACTTCCCGTCAATGCACTGGTGCTCAACACGGTTACGCCAGGCAAAGTTAGCATCAGAAGCGGCAACGAAAATCACTTGCATGCGACCATAAAGCTTCTTCGCAATGTAACCGGGATCCAGTTCTTGGAAAGTCGTCTTTGCCGCATGCTCTGTGAGCTCATTTCCCCACATCCCCAGGAGTTCCTTGACAGTCGCCTGCGTACGGCGGACCTCCTGCAGATGATCGCTTGGGACGAGCAGGGTGAGCAGGAACCGCAGCTTCGCCGCCAGATCTTCCTTCGCCTTGTCTTCATAACATTCCTTCGGATCGTGGGCCTGAAGCCCGTCGTCCTCGTCATCCATGAAGTTGTAACGGCGAGCAGCACCAGGTGTGTCCTGATCCTCCTCGCCTGCAGCATCGTCACCTGCATCAGAGACGGCGTCCTTAAAATCCGCATCCTTTCCTTTGCCTTTTTCATCCTTCCCTCCAGCAGCCTGCTCGCTTCCTGAGAGCCGCCAGCTTAGCGGACAGCGTCAGCGATTCCGAGTCATCCTCCGCAAACAGAGTTCGCGACGACTTCGACGGAACCGCCGTAGCCAGCACAGGACGAGCAGACGGTCCAGCAGCAGGAGTCTTCAGCGTAGCAGCGGCAGCAGCATTGTTGTCAGGGACCATGTTGCTGACTGGCTTAACAGGCCTCGCTCGAGGAGGCATGGCGTGATGATGAAAGAGCCACCACAACCAGCAAAGTGCTGGAGGAAAAGACTCTCTGAGCGCCTTAAAAACATCCTTGAAGCAGGCATGTGGAGCCTGAGCGACAGTACTTGGATGTTGGTTGCTTGACGGTAGTTCATTGTCATGGTTGTTGGGAATAAGGATGCCTTGGAAACAGCGTGATGACTCAGCTGCGTATATAGAACCTAGGTGAGCAACATAGATGTTAGAAGCTTGTAACCAGCGAGGAAGAGCCTTAGGGAACCACGAAGCAATGTCCGCTGTTTGGACACCAAAGTAGTATCGATGTGTTCCTTGCATTAAGGCGAATTCCGATAACTGGTTTTTAGCAACCGTAACATGCTGGAGTACCGACATTGGTAGCTCCGAAGATCCAGGTGGCAGCCATGGCGGTCTCAGGCGGGTTGTCATTGTACTTGCTCAGTTCCAGAATGCCTGCACATATATGTGAGATATAAAACACAATTTCCAAAACTTGAGTATGTTAATGCATGATTCCCTGGGCATATACTGGTTTGAAATAGGAGTGCGGAGTGAAGGGTGCCTGAGGTGAGAATTTCTCAACTTTCATGTCCGCACCACAAGATCAGAGCGACTGGCTCGTTATGGATGGATTCTGATCCGGGTCGCCCAAACAGAGCTCCAGTCCAGTAGCCGTTCCCATGGCAGGCAATGGTAATATCTAGGATCTAGGTAATATCTAGATCAGCGAGGCTGAGCACTAAAGCTTGTCGTCCTCAGCTCGGAGCGAGACCGTTTTAGAGGCGAGTGCAGTGTTGCAGCAGCAGCTTGAAGTCACGCGAGCCGTTGCAGATGATACAGCTTAGACGTGAGAGCAATACGAATCTCGACTACAACATACTTGGGTCTGTGAAGGCGTTAGCTTGAAAGCACACTCCTGCGTTCGCTTCAAAGAACGGTCCATCAGCGTCAGTTGAGTTACCCTGCTCCGATCATTGTCAGCCTTACGCCATGCGAAGACCCGAGGCCAGTGGACACACGAGCGTCGGTCCTTGCCTCTCGCTGTAGCTGCCAGCGAACGCTCATAGTCGCGTAACGCATGCTAGTAGTAACCAAACACGCTCACTGCATTCGCTGGGCAATAAGCAAGAAAACAGTAGGACGACACATTTGCAATAGAATGGAAGCCTGAATACAATTAATTTTCTACGTCATAGCCATTTAAAATGGCAGTGCCATTGACCAAGACCACCGGCAGCTCGAGCCGCCAGTGGCATTGCAGCTGGCGATTAGGGACGCGACGCGGGATCTTCTCGCTATGTCTCCTAAGCATGCTTCTACTGATGGTAGTCCTCACCGTAGAATTCAGCGACGACGATGATGACGGAGATGGCGCCGTCGCGCGTTCGCGGACGGGCATCTCTGGCAGCTATGATGACCTGGACGACGGGACACGTGGCAGCGGGGGATTGGACGATTTCTGGGGGCTGGGTCAGCAGGGGCAGGGCCAGTACTGCCGGGAGCGAGGCCAGCTAGCGGTGTGCCGGCCGCCCGACGCTGTGATTATAGCGGAGGTAGGCTGGGATGCGATTTGTAGCCACGAGCCGGCCGGCCGTCGCTCTGCTCCGGCAACCTCATCATTCCCGGCCCTTTGTGCTCTTCACCTCGCCTTCCCCCTCGACTCCAACTGCCGGTTCCCCTTTTTTCTCTTTCCCCCCCCCCGCCCTCCCAGTGCGATCTGGGTTCGCGTCTATCATCCGTCTGTGCCGCGGCCGCCCTGCTGCCAGCAGCCAACCTCACGACTCTCGCCTTCTGGGTCCCTGATGCCTTCATGCTTCTCCGACCTCTTCAACCTAGCTGCCGCTGCCACCTCTGCTCACCCTCTCCCCCGCTCTTCTCCCTCTCTCCTCCCTCTCTTCTCCCCCACTTCTTCCCCGCCTCTTGGCCTCTCCCCCCACCATCCCTCCGTCCTCCCAGGGCGATCTGGGTCCGCGTCTATCATCCATCTGTTCCGTGGCCGCCCTGCTGCCAGCAGTCAACCTCACGACTTTCGCCCTCTGGGCTCCACACTCCGCGCTGTCTTCCCCCGCTCCCTTTTACCCCCTCTTTCCTCTCTTTCCACCGTTCTTTCCCATTTTCCCCCTTTTCCCCCCCACCTTTCTCCACTCTTCCAGGGCGATCTGGTCTCGCGTCTTTCATCCGTCTGTGCCGCGGCCGCCCTGCTGCCAGCAGCCAACCTCACAACGCTCACCCTCTGGGTCCCTGATGCCTTCATGCCGCACATCCGCTTCTCAGACCTCTTCACCCTAGCTCCTGCTGACGCCTCTGGTAACCCCGCCCCTCCTCCTGATGTGGAGGGGCGGTCCTTGCGTGCTGCTGCTGCTGGGGAGGCCGGGGAGAGCGGGGAGGGGCTAAGCAGTGGTGGTAGAGAGGGGTCAAGAGGGGGTGCGGACCTTGGGAATGCCACAGAGGGCGGAACAGGAGCCAACAGCAGCAGCAACGGAGGCAGGGGCGGCAGCGGAGACGGCAGAAGCAGTAGCAGAGGCAGCGGTGGTGGTGATGGCAGCAAGGGTGGCGGTGCAGGGCGGTTTGTGTGGGTGGAGGAGGTGAATGAGACGGCTGCCCACTGGCGCCAGTTCCTTGCACTCACCCACCGACCTGTAAGATACAACGAGAGGCCTCTCATTACCATGCGTCTGTATGTACGCTGCTAGCATGACCTGAGATGTGGAGGGGGGCCGGGGGTATCTTAGCATCTATGTGAGGAGGGGGAGATGCGGGGGCACAGTCAGCTTTCAAGTGTGGCCGATTTTTGCCTGCCACGCCACACTGTATGTCTTACTGTTCCCTCTATTCACGCCCTTTCTCTTGGGGCCCTACCTTCTCCCTTCCTCCATGCCCTCCCCCACTGCACCTGTTCCCACCTAAAAACTGCCCGCCTGCCCACCTTCGCTTTTGCCTGCCAGCCCACCTGCCCACCTGCCCGCCTGCCCACCTGCCCGCCTGCCCACCTGCCCGCCTGCCCGCCTACCCACCTGCCCACCTGCCCGCCTGCCCCGTCTTTACCCCCCCGATCCCTCTTCCCCCCTGCCCGGCCGCCTCCTCTCCCTCTCCCCTGCATACGCATGCCAGGTGACCATCCGCGGGTGTCAGAAGCGGGGCGCCTCTCCGGATGCCACTGTTGCTTCCCTCGCGCACTGTGCACCCTTCTAACCTCCCTCTCCGCGCTCCCCTTTGCCCCGTCCGTCTCCTGCCCCCGGCCGCCCTGCACGCCCATGCCAGGTGACCATCCGCGGGTGTCAGAAGCGCGGCGCCTCTCCGGATGCCGCTGCTGCCTCCCTCACGCTCAGCCTGTACCTCTCGCCCGCCTCCATCAACTGGCTCGTGGTGCGTGCCATGTGTGAGTGTGTGCGTCAAGTGGTGAGGTGCAGAGCGGTGTGATGTGGTGGTGCCACTGCCAGCGCCTCCCTCACGCTCAGCCTCTTCCTCCCAGCCTTTCAGAACGAGCCACAAACACTCCCCTCATGCACTCCCCTCTCCCCTCTCCCCTCTCCCCTCTCCCCTTACGCACCACCCCACCCTCTCCCCCTGCCCTGTGTGAGTCGGTGAGCCCATGTGCATTTGAGCGAGCAGCACATGGGGGTGTGCATGGCAGGTAGTGCTGCACCCGTCATGGTGTTACTTTTGAGGATTCTCAAAAGAAACTCCAATATAACTCCAAACATGTGCATATGAGCAGCAGCACATGGCAGCATGGATGTTCGGCAGCGCGGTACCCCTCATGACGCTTGAGATCCCGCAAAAGGCATGCACTCCCCTCATGCACTCCCCTCACGTTTCCCCCGGCACCGTCCCACTCTCTCTCTCCCTTCACGTATGGCGCAGTTAGAACCCATGTGCCTTTGAGCGCTGCATGGCAGCGCTGCACCCCTTTAGCACCCCCCCTCCTACTCCTCTCCACCACTCACAACCCCACCCCACTGGGCAGGACGCGGTGAACCCGTGTGCATTCGAGCGCCGCATGGCAGCGTGCATGGCAGCGCTCCATCCTGCCCCACCTGTGGCTGACCTGCTGCTGCAGGAGGACCTCGGCCGCCTCAAGTCTGCCCTCGCCCTCTACCTCGATGTGAGTGCCCTTTTTCATTCGAATTCTGAGGCGCCTCTAAAGGCAGCGCTGCACCCGTCTCCGCCTGTGGCTGAGCTGCTGCTGCAGGAAGATCTCGGCCGCCTCAAGTCTGCCCTCGCCCTCTACCTCGATGTGAGTGCCCTTTTTCATTCGAATTCTGAGGCGCCTCTAAAGGCAGCGCTGCACCCGTCTCCGCCTGTGGCTGACCTGCTGCTGCAGGAAGATCTCGGCCGCCTCAAGTCTGCCCTCGCCCTCTACCTCGATGTGAGTGCCCTTTTTCATTCGAATTCTGAGGCGCCTCTAAAGGCAGCGCTGCACCCGTCTCCGCCTGTGGCTGAGCTGCTGCTGCAGGAGGACCTCGGCCGCCTCAAGTCTGCCCTCGCCCTCTACCTCGATGTGAGTGCCCTTTTTCATTCGAATTCTGAGGTGCCTCTAAAGGCAGCGCTGCACCCGTCTCCGCCTGTGGCTGAGCTGCTGCTGCAGGAAGACCTCGGCCGCCTCAAGTCCGCCCTCGCCCTCTACCTCAATGTGAGAGCCTTGTCACCTATATCACAAGGGGAGGATATTACTTTCGCCCACTCGCTCTACCTGGACGCGAGTGTCCTGTCCCTTCCACTCTCTTCATACCACAATGCGTGCATGATCACCATCTGTCCCTCTACTCCCTTCCCTTTTCCCTCTCCATCCCTCAGGTCTCCCACCCTCCCTTCGGCCCACCCACCCACCCACCCGTCCGTAACCCCCCAGCCGAGACAGCTATCCCGGCTGCCCCATATCCGCTACTCCTCTCCTTCTCCCCCCCTTCTCTTTGCCACACACTGCCTCCCCATGTGCTTCCTCGAGCGCCCTTCCCTCCACTCCACCCTCCCTCCACTCCACCCTCCCTCCACTCCACCCTCCCTCCACTCCGCCCTCCCTCCACTCCGCCCTCGCATCTCAAGTTGCATCAGAATCTGGGGCTGCACAATCGCCACTTCTCGCTCTCACCCTCCCTCCATTCCCCTGTCCTCTCACCCTCGACCCACCCACCCACCCACCCACCCACCCACCCACCCACCCACCCGTCAGGATTTATCCCTAGACGGCTGTCCTGGCTGCCCCATATCCGCCACCTCCTCGCCCCATCTCTGTGCCACGCGCCGCCTTGCCATGTCCTTTCTCAAGCGCCCCTCGCTAGATTTCGCCCTCGCCGCCCGCACCGCCGTCAACGCCGCCCGGATCTCTGACGCGTTCCACCCCGCCCGCGCGCCGTTTGTGCTCCGCGCCACCCAGTCACGTGCTGCCACGTGTCCCAAGGGGGAGAGGGCGGATTTGGGAGAAGGCGGGGTGGAGGAATGGAGAAAGGGGGGTGGAGGAGGGGTAGGTGGGGGAGGGAAAGGAGGAGAAGGAGGAGGGAAGGGAGTGGATGGGGGTGGTGCTGCTGGCGGGGATAATGGAGGGGGTATTGTAGCGGGAGGGAATGGGACGGAAGGAGGGAATGGGACAGAGGTGCGGCAGCTGCTTATGAAGCAGAATCTCTCACCCGGTGACCTCATGCTGTGTGTCCGCCTGCAGGTGCGCTTGGCTTCGTGTGGATGTGTGATTTGCTGCATGGGTAGGTGTGGGTGTGCGTGTGGATGTGTGATTTGCTGCATGGGTAGGTGTGGGTGTGCGTGTGGATGTGTGATTTGCTGCATGGGTGGGTGTGGGTGTGGGTGTGGGTGTGGGTGTGGGTGTGGGTGTGGGTGTGGGTGTGGGTGTGGGTGTGGGTGTGGGTGTGGGTGTGGGTGTGGGTGTGGGTGTGGGTGTGGGTGTGGGGGGTGGTTCTCTCAGGGCCGCCATGGTCCTCGCCGCCCGCTCCGACCTATTCCGCGTGTACATTGCTCTACCTGCCTGTTCCTCCCATCACAGGCAGTGGAGCTGTTCGCACTCAGCATGACCCGCGGGCTCATCTCCCTGAGGGGCGGCCTCGCCTCGCCACAAGCTATGTTCATCGCCGCCCATGGCGCTGCCCGCTCCGACCTGTTCCGCGTGCAGCGCCCCGTCTGTGACTCGCCGCCCCTGCTGCCGCTCACCAAGCAGAAGCTCGCTCGCTTCACCATCATCGAAGGTAGGGTAGACCTACCTTGTCTTTGTATCGTGATTGTTTCTCTGTGACTCGCCGCCCCTGCTGCCACTCACCAAGCAGAAGCTCGCTCGCTTCACCATCATCCAGGGTGAGAGGCGCTGATTTCAAGTCCTCACTTTGTGGACATAAAACATAGAATTCTGAATCCTATACTTGAGTCGACTCAAAAATAGTCCTCACTTTGTGGACCATAGAACATAGAACATAGAATTCTGAATCCTATACCCTGCTGCCTCTTACCCAAGCACAAGTTCGCTCACTTACCGTCATCGAAGGTAAGAGAGGATTTACCTTGCCTTTGACGCTACCCCTTCCCGCTTCCTCCTCCGTCGTTCCTCCCCACCTTCCACCCTTTCTTCCCCTTCCTTCCCCTTCCTTCCCCTTCCTTCCCTTGTATTCAAATCCCTCTCCCCTTCCTCCTTCACCACATTCCGTCCCTTCTTCCCCTTCCCAAGGTGGCCTGCGACTCATGGCCCATGTGCCTGCACTGATGCAGCGATAGGCTCTCTTGTGTTCCTGCCCCCGCTCCTCGTTCCCCGCACAAACCCGCTCTCTAACTCCTGTATTTCCCTCAGAGTCCCTCAACCTCGTGTATTCAGGTGACTTTTGAGTCGACTCAAAAGTTCCCCGCACAAACCCGCTATCTAACTCCCCTATTTCCCTCAGAGTCCCTCACGCTCGTGTATTGCGCCATTCCCAAGGTGGCCTGCGACTCATGGCTCATGTGGCAGCGGGCGCGCCCCCCTCTTTGTCTCCCCATACCTCATTCCTCCCTTCCTCCACCATCTCCCTCTTTTTCACAGAGTCCCTCAAGCTAGTCTACTGCGCCATCCCCAAGGTGGCGTGCAACTCGTGGCTCATGTGGCTGAGGGCGCGCCTGGGTCTGCCCAACCCAGAGGACCCGCTGCTGGCGCTGAACGAGAAGGAATGGGGCTTACACGAACTGGCGCTTGATTTCACCGAGGAACAAGCGGTGAGTGGGGCGGCTGAGGTGGTCGTGGGTGGGTGGGTGGGCTGGGCTGGGAGTGATTGTTGTGCTGAGGACGCACCTGGGCCTGCCCAACCCAGACGACCCGCTGCTGGCTCTGAACGAGAAGGAATGGGGGCTGCATGAACTGGCTCTAGATTTCACCGAAGAACAAGCAGTGAGTGGAGCTGGGGAGGTGTTGAGTGGAGTGGGGTTTTGTCTTGTTTCGGCAGTGGGGGGCATAGTCAGCTGTCAAGTGGGGGGCATAGTCAGCTGTCAAGTGGGGGGCATAGTCAGCTGTCAAGTGGGGGGCATAGTCAGCTGTCAAGTGGGGGGCACAGTCAGCTGTCAAGTGGGGGGCACAGTCAGCTGTCAAGTGGGGGGCACAGTCAGCTGTCAAGTGGGGGGTCTCCATGAACCCGCGGGTGGTGCTCAACAAGAAGCAGTGGGGGCTGCTGTGCATGAGCTGGCACTCGACTTCACGTAGGCACAAGCGGGGAGTGGGGCGGATCGTAGTGGTTGCCTCCATGCGCAGCACAACTGCTTCCCGCACGTTGACCTGCCCCTTGAGTCAGCTCAAATTGATCCCACCCCCCTTTCCTTTCCCTCCCACCTCTCCCACATCCCAGATCCGTCTCATGTCGCGTCCAGGCTTGTTCAAGTCAAGTTCACCTTTGTGCGCAGCCCCTTCTCGTGCGACTTTTGAGTCGACTCAAAAGTCACCTAGTTCACCTTTGTGTGCAGCCACTTCCCGTGCGTCATCATTGATTCAACTCATATATCACCCTAGCCCTTGTCTTCCTTTCCACTCTTCGTGACCTCTCTCTAACCTCTCCTCTATCCCAGATCCGCCTCATGACGTGTCCAGACTTGTTCATGTTCACCTTTGCGTGCGACGCCTTCCCCCTCGTCAAGGTGACGCTTGAGTCGCCTCAAGCGTTACCCCCTTCCCCCCTGTTCCTTACCTCTCTCCCCTCTTCTTCCCATCGCAGATCCGTGTCATGACTCACCACGACTTCTTCACATTCACCTTCGTTCGCAACCCCTTCTCGCGCATCGCCGTGACTACTGAGTCAACTAAAACGTTGCCTGCTTTCCTCTCCCCCCATCCATCCCCTGTCCCTCCCCTTCATCTCCCCCAGATCCGCCTCATGACCTGCCCGGACTTCTTCAAGTTCACATTCGTGCGCAACCCCTTCTCAGCCTTTGTGCTGCCCAATCGATTTTGAAGATACTCCCGTCCCTCTCTCCTTCCCTCTTCGCTCTTTCCTTCTCAACCCTGTGGTCAGATCCGCCTCATGACGCGCCCGGACTTCTTCAAGTTCACATTCGTGCGCAACCCCTTCTCGCGCATCGCCTCTGCCTACTCCAACAAGCTCGTGCGCACCGACCGACCCAAGCTCAAGACTGGCACCGGCTGGGGCACCCGCCAGTACTGGAGCAACGTGAGTGCGTGCGGTGGTGTTGCTGAGCTGTCTGGCTGTCTTGTGCCCTTTATGATATGCCTTGCTGCCTTGGCCTATTCCTACAAGCTCGTGCGCACCGACCGACCCAAGCTCAAGACCGGCACTGGTTGGGGCACCCGCCAGTACTGGAGCAACGTGAATGCCTGCCTGCCTGCCTGCCTGCCCGCCCGCCCGCCCGCCCGCCCGCCCGCCCGTGTGATCATGGCAGGCTCATTGGCACCTCCAGTGTGGAAGCCCATGTACGAGACAGTCAGGGACAGACAAGGGCCAGTCCCACTCCTGTGCCTGCTCCCCTTGTCCTGCCCTCCTCCCACCACCGGCTTTCTTCCATGCCGCGAAGCCCATTTACGAAGCAGTCAACGACAGCCTAGTCAATGGGTCCGTGCACTCGTCTGCTGCTTCCTCTTAGAAAATATCAGTATTTCTCGCATGTCTCCCTCGATCCCACAGGCCTTCTTCCATGCCGTGAAGCCCATGTACGAAGCAGTCAAGGACAGCACAGGGCTCGTCTCTTTCCCCGACTTTGTCCGCCTCGTTGGCAAGCTGCTCGCGAATCACCGCGCTGACATGGACCGCCACCTGGCGCCGCAGGAGGACATCTGTGCTTTAAGCTCCATCAAGTATGACGTTGTGGGGCGCTTCGAGCGCCTCGAGGAGGATGTGAAGACGGTGGTCGATAGGTTCGGCGGCGAGCACCTGGACGTGTTTAGGTTCGGCAAGGAGGCGCACTTCACCGATACGGATCGGCGGCTGGCGAAGCTGTATGACAAGGTGCGTGTGTTGATATATTTGGCTTCTCCCCCCTCACTTCTGCTCATTCCCCTGCCCCCTGCCTTTGCTTATCGTTCCCAACTCACTTTTCCCCTGTCCACTGTCCTGTCTTTGTTCCACTCTGCTCTTCGTTTCATCTGGAACCGATCTGCAGGATACATATGAGAGGGTGAAGAAGATATACGCTATGGACTTTTATATTGCCATGAACAACATTACTCACGAGACTCCAAGGGTATTGTATGAGATATACGAAAACGATTTCTAAGATTATCTCTTTCAACTTGTATGTTATATGAGATTCTTATCACGCAGTCCACAGTTCAATACACTACCTCCAGTCAGCATCCTGTACTCGGCAGTTCTGCACGGGATGCATGATGCTGGGAGAGAGAGGTTCAGAATGACGTGGATCCGAGGCAATGTTGCTTGGCGGCGCATCATTCGCACCTGCGATTGGTGCAACGAGCAAACAAATGTCGATTGGGATTCGAAAAGGCAATTTGAAAGGGTGGGCAGGTTTGAAAAGTGGCTTCACGAATCGGCTTCGAGGACAAAGGAAACGGGGGCGGGGGTTTCGGATGAATCGAAGGGGTTTTTGCACAACGAAATTGGTCCCTGCTGACAAATTTTGGCAGCAATGTACGCCCCCTTGGTACTGCCGCTCCCTCTTCTCTTCACCATATGCTGCTGTCCAGACTTGATTGATTACGATTGGTATAACTCCTGTCCAGACTGGCTTTGGGTGCGTTTTCCCAAGGCACAGCTAACTGTTGTATTCCGGAAATGTGATGTTCCCAAGGCTGGCTGGATGTTCCATAGGGCTGTCTGTTCCTAAGGCTGTCGGTTTCCTAGGCTGGATGTTCCCAAGGCTGGCTGGATGGACCCAACACCGGAAAGAGGGACAACTGACGACCCAGGCTGGTGCTGCAATGTTGGGATTAGATCCCTTAGCTAGGATGGCATGTAATTAGGTTCCTGCACAAGCCCGCGGGACCTCCAGAAACATCAATGAGCATAAGTGTGCGGCAACGGTCAGCGAGACTGCCACGCTAGTGTTGCTAGATCAGGGATCAGAATTTGCAAGCTTTCCCTCTGGCGAATAAGATTTTCCCAGCAGGAGGCCGTGCCACGTGTCGTTCTCCGGTAACATCGAGTTGCTCCTACCTCTAGGTGCTAGCCCCCTCGCACTGCTGCTTTTCCGTGCACTGCGGCGCACCCTCGGTCTTTCCCCCTTTCCCCCCTAAACTCTAGCCTGTATCGAATGGCCTGCTAAGTGAGACCCTGCTCTAGGGAAGTTTGAACGTCTTGCCAGACTCCGTTCCTCCTCCTCCCATAAATATTTCGTAGAAGGATTTCATTAGTGCGTAATCTGAGTTCGGGGCCGGTTTTCAGTTCTCTATCCACGACCCCCGAGGACGGACAATGATAATCTGACGGTCATGACACGTCCGATACAACAAATGTCGTGCATGGGCCCACTTTTCTGCCAGTTTGAGAATAAGATATTGTAACATTAGGTTATCGTGACGTTACAATGTCATCATGACATATGGCATTCTGCCTGGGCTCCTCATTCTAGTTCCGAGCCAATGGCATCTCATTACACCTTAAAATTGATACGCATTCTCTTTCAGCTTTAGCAATCGCTAAACACGACGAGTTTCGGTTTCGCCTCACTCAGGATACAGGGACAGAATAACGCCTCTTTTTTTTTTTGGCGAGCCGTATCTCACAAAAGACAGACGGCATGGGCCGGTGGGTGTCATAAGCCGCCCTTGGCAACCTCTAAACGGCAACCACAGATTGCAAACGCCAAACGCCGAACGGCGATCCCCGACCGCCAAGCCCCCAGCGCCAAGCATCAAATTCCGAGCGCCAATCCATGTCTGCGAAGCCGCCAAGTGCCGCTGCTGCAGCCGCCGCCGCCGCCGCCGCTGCAGCACTTGGTGCGGGCGCGTCAGTGGAAGGCCTCCCCGCGTCCCCCGCCGGATCCCCCCCGTCTGCTCCGACCACGTCTCCCGCTGCAAAGACCAAAACACCACCACCACCGCCACAGCAGCAGCAGCAGCAGCAACAACAACAAAAACAACACCTGCAGCGGCAGCAGCAGCAGCAGCAGCAGCGCCAGCAGCAGCAGCAGGGGATAAATCTGGCGGTGGGGTTGCAGCAGTAGCAGGAACTGGCGGTGGTGGCTCCCCTCCATCTGCCGCCACCCCTGCTGCCACGTCTCCTGCTGCCGCAGCCACCGAGCCCATGGCCGTTACGAATCCTTCCCCTGCTGTAACCGCTGCACCCACTACCGGTGCTGGTGCTGCTACGGCTGCTGGTGGTGCTGGCGTTAGTGTTGCTGCTGGCGCCGCTGCTGGTGTCGGAGCTGCGGCCAGTGCTCCCACTGGTGCCACGGCCGTGCTCTCTCCATCCACGTCAGCGTGCACGAAGCCTGCCACGTCATCATCTCTGTCATCAGCACAGCAGGCGCCGTCAGAGGGGAGGAAGATATCCTGCGAGGACATTCAGCTGGTAGGGCTTCAAACGGGTGGGATCATAACGAAGTAGAAGTTGAGCTGGTTGGGAAATGCTGCTGTTGGCAGGTGTAAAATCTGAACAAGCTCTGCCTGCACCTGTGCTAAATGAAAATATCCCCTTTCCTGCTGCTGGTGGTGTTGGCAGGTGCAGAACCTGATTGTGCGGTGCTTACAGCTGTACCTGAGTCACCTCCCTCTGCTAACCCCATTCCGCCGGATCCACTTCCCCATCCATATCTCATGTTGCTGTTGACGTCACTGGCAGGTGCAGAACCTGATCGAGCGGTGCTTACAGCTGTACATGAGTCAGAGGGAGGTGGTGTCCACGCTGCAATACCAGGCCAAGATCGAACCCGGCTTCACCAAACTCGGTCCGTTCTTCTCACTGCCTCACTCACTTATGTACTCGCTCATTGACTGACTGACCGACTCGGTGACTGAATCAGTGACGGGCTGTCTAAGTGACTGAATGATTAACTGACTGACGGATTAGCTGTCTCACTCACTGTAATGGCTGTCTGTCTGTTGCTCACATCCGCTTGTTGTTTGTTTTCCTGAAGTGTGGAAGATGTGTTGAGTATCCCATCCCGTACTCTCTATTCCAGCTTTACTTGTTATTCCGCGCTTGTTTTCAGCCTGTATTACTTACCCTCCTTCAATCCAGCAATTTCGTCCCTTCAACCCCTAAAGCTCCCAGGACCGCCCGATCGCGTCTCTCTTACTCGCCGCTCTGCCTTGTGTCTTTGGATCCTCTTCCACCCATCTCATCCCTAAATCTTAAACCCCTTTGCTTCTGTATCCGTGCTTTGTCCTCCCCTAATGCCCTCCGTTCCCTCTTCCCTCGTTCCCCACTCCACCCTGTTACCATCCATTGTTCTCCACCCCTCTCGATTCCCCTCTTCCGCTCCTACCACATGCGCCTGCGCCTAAAGGACCAGATCCACCAGTTCAACGCCTTGCTTGAACAGCACACTCCACCCTGTTACCAACCCGTGTTCTCCATCCCTCTCCACCCCTCTCCATCCCTCTCCACCTCTCTCCACCGCAGTGTGGCAGAAGCTGGAAGAGCAGAATCCGGACTTCTTCCGCTCGTACCACATGCGCCTGCGCCTAAAGGACCAGATTCACCAGTTCAACGCCCTTCTTGAACAGCACGCCCATGCTGTGCGCACCCAACGCCTCAACCGCTCTGCATCGCACTCCACCCCTGGAGCGGCAGCTTCTGCGGCTGCTACAGCTGGGGCGGCCGCTTCTGGTGCTTCTGCTGCTACTGCTGCTACAGGCGCTGCTGCTGGCTCTGGTGCCACTGGTGCCTCTGCTGGTGGTGCGACTGCCGGTGCTGCTGCTGCTGGTTCTGCTGCGTCGGCGGCCCCTGCTCCCTCGTCAGCCCATGCTGCCTCAGGCGCAGCTGCTGCTTCTGCTGGAGCGCCTGTGCCTGGTGTCCCTGCGTCCATGCGAGGCCCCCCTAGTGAGTTCGCGAGGAGAGGAGCGTGAGGTGGAGAGGAGTGTGGGTTGGAGAGGAGTGTGGTTGGGAGGAGTGCGGTTGGGAGGGGTTTATGGTGGACGGGAGTGTGTGTGGATGGGTGTGAGGGAGAGTGACGTCGAATGGAATGAAGAGGTGGGTGATGGGTGAAAGATGAAGAAGGAGCATGGGGTGTAGGAAGGGGAAGGCTGTTGGGTTAACAAGGGACTCTCGCTTCCCCATCTCCCCTCGTCATCTGCCTCACCTTTTCTTCCTCCTACACCCTTCGCCCGTTCTCTCCCTTCCTCCTTTATTCTCCTTTTTTTCCTTCACTTTTTCTTCCTCCCCATTTCTATCTCACACCCTTTACCAATCCTGCCCTCGCCAACCCGCTTGTTTGCCACATCCCCCCCTTAACCCCCTCTCCCATCCGCCCTTCTCCCAAACAGTGCATGGCGCAGCTCCCTCTTTCATGCACCCTTCTAAATAGACCTCCCCCTTTATTCTCCCTCCCATTCCCACCCCCCCAAACAGTGCACGGCGCAGCTCCCCCTTTCATGCACCCTCACGCAGCCGCCGCAGCCGCCGCAGCAGCAGGGCACCACCCCCACCACCCGCACCACCCCCCACACATGCTCCACCACCCCTACTCCATGCTTCCCCCCGGCCAGCATCCCCCCCACATGCCCCCCCACGTCCCCCCTGGTGCGCCCATGCCTCCCCCCATGATGCCAGGCATGCTTCCCCCGCACATGCTCCCCTTTGGCCCGCACCCCCACCCCCACGCGCACCCCCCCCACCCGCACGCCCACCCCCACTCCCACCCTGTTTCTGCTGCTGCTGGTGGCGGTGGTGGTGGTGGGGGCGGGAATGGTGGTGGGGGCGGAAGTGAGATGGCAGTGATTGGGGTTCCGTCCTCTGCTAATGCACATGCTGCGGCCATGCAGGCCCATGCACATGGGATGGCCCATGCCCATCCCCATGCCCATGCACATGCCATGACGCACATGGCCCATGCTTCAAATACCTCCGCTGCTGCTCGTGCTGCAGCAGGAAAATTCGGTTCAGGAGGGGGGATGGGGGAAGCAGGGGGCGCGGAGGGGGCAGCGGGGGTTGCAAGGGCAGACGGGGGGGAGATGGGGGCACTAGGTGCAGATGGTGCAGGAGCAGCGGGGGGAGGGGCGGTGGAGATTGGGGCATTCGCGGAAGGAGGGGTGGGGATGGGGGGAGACGATGGAATGGGGGGCATGGGGACGGGGGGAATGTTGAAACTAGAACCAGGGGAGGGGATGGAGGAGGAGGATGGGGAGAATCTGGATTTAGATGTTGGAATGGAGGATGGGTGTGGAGAGGAGGCGTTGGGGGCAGGAGGAGGAGGAGGAGGAGGAGGAGGAGGAGGAGGAGGAGGAGGAGGAGGAGGAGGAGGAGGAGGAGGAGGAGGAGGAGGAGGAGGAGGAGGAGGAGGAGGGGGAGGAGGGGGGAGGAGGGGGGACAGGAAGGGCGGGGTCGAGCGAGAATGATGACATGGCAGGGGTGGGCGGAGCTGCTGAGCTGGACAGCGATGGGAGTGACATGGCATTTCCGTTTGGTTCGGTTGATCTGTCGGGGATAGGCATGGGCATGGGTATGGGCATGGGGATGGGCATGGGCATGAGCATGGGGCTGACCGCACTAGATGTAGGGCCGTTCTCGTCCTCTCTCGCTCTGACTTCGACCAATCACGATACGGCATTTGGATCCCGGGGGGAGGGGGATGGGGATGGTGGAGGGGAGGCAGGACACCACCAGGGGTCCCACCACCACCATCACCATCACCATCCACATCATCCCCACCATCAACAGGAGCATCAGCACCCTCACGAGCATCATGCAAGCATGGACACAGAGCGTTCACACAACCATCACCATCACCATCACCATCATACACATAGTAACCACGAGCAGCAGCAACAGCAGCATTCAACAGATGGGCATGGGCATGCCGATTTGGTAGATGCCACTGATCGCCATAACGCCAACAGCCACAACGACCATGGGTTATCAAACAGAGGGGCAGGGATGCATGGTACAGCGGGGGGAGTGCACGGCACAGTGGCGCAGGACAGTACAGGCATGCATGATAGCACAGGGGCGCAACAATCCTCCGCTGCTGTTCCCAGGGAAATCGCGCTGGGGTCGCTGGGGCACCTTCCGAGAAACTTCAGCCTCTCTGACTTGACTGCCGATTTCCCGGGGCCTCAAAGTGAAGGTGAGAGGTGTGGGAGGTGGGGGGAGGTGGGGGGAGGTGGGGGGAGGTGGGCATGGAGAATGGGGCAACGGGAGCACTAGGGGAGGGTGAAATAAAGAAGTGGAAAAAAAAACAAACAAACAAACAAACAAACAAACAAACAAGACAACACGCGGGAGTGAGCCCGGGAAAATGGGGCAATGCGGGAAGGTTGTGCGAGAGGAGAGAGAGAAACCATGAGCGCAAACATGCACGGCTTGCAGCACAGTCCACGTGTTTATCCACTCCCACTCCACTCGTTGACCAGCCCCTCCACCTGTGGTTCCCCATGCATCCCCTTCTTCCCCTCCTTTCCCTCCTGGCCCTCCTGCTCCTCCTGCTCTCCGTCCCCTCCCCCAGGCAGCCATATGCTGGGGCTGCTGCCGGGCTCGCCACCTTTCATGAATGCCGATCATGCTGAGCCCCACCCTATGGTTCCCCATGCCTCCACTCCTTCCAACTCTCTTCCCTTCATCCACCCTCCCTCCGTCCCCTCCCCCAGGCGGCCATATGCTGGGGCTGCTGCCGGGCTCGCCACCTTTCATGAATGCTGACGATGCAGACTTCCTCAGACCACCGGACAAAGGTGCGTGCACACAGAGATGTTGGTGTTAAGAGTGTGCCTCGTGAGGGCTGCCTGTGTACTGTAGGTGATCTGGGAAAGGCTGCTGCCGGGCTCACCGCCCTTCATGAACGCCGATGATGCAGACTTCCTCAGACCACCCGACAAAGGTGCGTGCAGGGAGGGGTGATGGTGTCACTAGCTCTCCGGGAGGGCTGCTGGCTGTTTCCCAATCGTGAGAGCGACATGCGGCTTTTCTTGTTGAGAAGCTTTTCAGCTTCAAGAAATGGGCAGGGCAGCAGACTAGAGTGCGTCTGGTGTGAGCAGTGCGAATGGACTGGCATGAATTCTAAGTCGACTCAAAGTTACAGGACCATGTGTGTGTTTTGGCACGGCTGAACGAAACAGAGTGTCGAATTGCAGTGTATGGACTCGTGTGCACTCTCTCTCTCTCTCTCTCTCTCTCTCTCTCTCTCTCTCTCTCTCTCTCTCTCTCTCTCTCTCTCTCTCTCTCTCACACACACACACACACACACACACACACACACACACGCTGTGGAGATTCTCCACCCTTCCCTTTCCCCACCCTTTGCCATGCCTACATCTGTCCCTTCACCAACTTGACCCGTATCCCTGTGAATCGATTCTTTCATGCCCTCATGGCCTCATGCCCTCATGCCCTAATTCCCCCATGCCCTCATTTCCCCATGCCCTCATGCCCCCATGCCCTCATTCCCCCATGCCCTCATGCCCCCATGCCCTCATTCCCCCATGCCCTCATGCCTTCATTCCCCCATGCCCTCATGCCTTCATGCCCTCATGCCCTCATGCCCTCATGCCCTATGGCCCTGACACAGCAGATGCACACGTGAAGCTTGAGGGCTCTGTTTGACGCTCTTGAACCCTGGTTGACTCCAGTTGACTTGAGGGTTGACTCTAGTTGACCTGCGAGAGTTGGCCCTGGTTGACTCGCCGGTTGACTCTGTTTGACTTGGTTGACTGTGCAGCAACAGCCGCAGCAGGGGAAGGAGTTGTTCTGCTTCTCAGGGAGGGCTTTTATGGCGTCTCAAAGGTAGCCTTGCAGTAGGTGGAAAGTCCAGGCCATGCCTGTTAGGGAATGCTTTTGAGACACCTTGAACAGTGCAGCAGCCAGTGATCCGATCCGAAGCAGCTGTAGGCCTGTTAGGGTAGGTGGGGGGATAAGGTAAGCAAGCAGCTAACAAGCGCTTGTGACTGCGAGCACCATTTAGGTTTGCAGTGCTTGCTGCACTGCTGAGGTAGGGCACGTCCTTGTATTGTAGCGGTGTAACTTACAGTGGAACATCATGTACGTATGAATCCACCTTAACATACGGTACATACAGGGTATATCATTTTATGTCAGAGAGCTGTTGGGGTACTGGTACGTTATGGTTTGACAGGTACGTGGCATAATTTGCCGTTGTATTGCATGGAGGAGCGGGCATGAGTCCTTTAGCTGGCAGCAATAAGAGGAATGAAATGATGCACATGTAGCTCAAGGCAGTTCATGGTTCAACCAGAACCATGGAACTGGGGAAGCTCCGCCTGCAAATCCCAATGGTGTACCACCAGCTCAAGATTGCACAAAAGCACTTCGAAAACATTCAATATATTATGTTTGGCAGACAAAAATGCGCCCTTCCGCCTTCATTACTCCTGGGCAGACCTTTCCGGGAAGCTTCTACGTACCTCCTGTACACCAGGGCCAGACTACAGCCACTCTGACCAACAAATCTGGGCTTTAGCTTTACCCAGAATACCTCTGGGTGCTTGCTTGCTTACCCTCCTTTGACCCTTCTACCCATAAATTAATCCCCATACCCAGAGTGTCAATCCCATAAATATTTTCCCCCAAATCCCATCACTAGCACTCTCCTCTTCTACCCACCCAACCCCTTTGGTAACTAGTGACTAGACTATACACACGAGAACAAGATAACGCTATATTGAGCAAGAGGCTGCTTCCCTCCAGCATGTCACGTTTCGTGCATTCCTCACCGAAACCGCATAACCAGAGCACTTTACAGCCTTGCCCGCCAGGGTTTACATCCCCTTCTCCCTTCTCCCTTCTCCGACCCAGTCTCCACCCACCATTCCCAACCCCTCTCCACCATCCACTCCATCCCAGTGGTATCCATGCCCACTCTCGCCTTGACCTCCCATCCACTCCTTTTGCTCGCCTATTGGCCACAGCGAATCCCTGAACCAGCGGCAGGGCCGGCACCGGCAGAAACCGGGGTGGTGGCAGGAGCGGCAGAGGCAGAAGCAGCAGGGGCGGTAGCAGGAGCGGCAGAGGCAGAGGCAGCAATAGGGGTGGCGGCAGAAGCGGCAGAGGCAGAAACAGCAACAGGGGTGGTAGCAGCTGCATGGGCGAAGATGCTGCCAGTGAACCCCGGCATGGGGGAGGGGCACACACCGGGCGGCAGGCCCAAGTCAAACGAGTCAAACTCCTCTGGCGACAGGCACATAGCCGCGTCCAACCCCACGTCCTCCTCCCCCATATCAGCCACGTCATTCCCCCCATCGTCCCCTGCACTGTCCCCCAACCCCAGGTCCTCCCCTTCCAACCCCATGTGGATTTTTTCCTCCGCTTCTAGAGTAAGCCCATCTAGAGCGCCTGAGGGAAGGGGGACGGTGCCTGGGAGAGGAGGGGAAACCAGCGCCATGGGAACCAGTTCCCCTGCTGCTGCTGCACCGCTGCCCACCCCCGCGGATCCCAGCCCCTCGCATCTGCTCATCGCGCCTCCTAGCCGTTGCGAATCTGAGCCGTCCATGACGGAGTGGAGCGCCAGGTGGCCGTCGCTGAGTGGCTGGGGGAGATGGTCGAACGCGGTGAGATCGGCTGCAGCGGTTGAGGCAAGTGGGGTAGGGTGAGTGGGGAAACTGAAGGGGACTGCTGCTGAGCTGCTGCTACAGTGGTTCGCGTTGTTAAAACTGCTGCAGTTGCCGCTGTTGCTACTGTAGCCGTAACTGTAATTGCTCGAATTGGTGTTGTTACCGGGTGTGCTTGTACCGAAGCTGAAACTCCCAAAGGCGGTGCTGGATGGAGTGAGCGGGATGAACTTTGGACTAGGCAGTACGGGAAGGGCTGCTGACGTGTCCATATCCAGGTCATCAGCCCAAGGGCAGTTGAGATCGGAGCTGTCCCATAAACTGCACCAAAATGAGAATTGGGGAGAGGTAAACAGGAAGGAGATCATTAATGTTAAGCCTCTTGCAAAATGGCAGTGTCAGTAACAAAAGCATCGCAACTGAGATGTACGGGCGTATATGATTTGAGATGGGTTCATACACTTGTCCTGAATAAAATGTTTTGTTTTTTTTTTGTACCACTTTACGCTTGCTTCCAGTGTTTGGATAGCTTCTAGGCATAAATTAGCTTATTTTCTTTGCTACTATATAAGGCGCTCACCAGTTACGGAGCATGAAGGGGCTCGCCAAAACAGCTCCGCCAATCGCCGGTACCGCTGGTGCGAACGGAACTTCCGCCCGAACTTCCCCCTCGTCCGCGGAAGCGGAACACGGAATGATCAGTGACGGAGGCGGAACCTTGAACGAACGAGACTTCGCGAAAGCGCCAGCTGGCGACAGCGAGTTCGCGGCTTGAGCGTTCTGCGAAACCATCAGGTGAACCGTCGATGCCGAAACAAGCGAATCGTTTTTCTCATCTGCCCCACTCTTTTCAACCTTGATTCCTCCCGCACGCACAGACAAACCCAAACCCGCATCTGCTTCCGTCGCCGTTACCCGAGCACGAGCGCCGATTTGCGAAACGATTACGCTTGTCGGCGAGCCAGCTTCAGTTTCGCCATCGTGCTCGACTAGGCTCGGACCGTCGCTATCACCCTCCTCATCTTCGTCGCTGCTGCTGCAGCTGCTGCTGCGGAACCCCATTCCGCGCTGCGCTTGCGCGGACGCGCTCCCAACTTGAAGAAGAGCAAGATCCGCTTTCACCTCATCAGCAGTAGTGACGATCTCGGCCGCGAACGCGGATGGCGGACAAAGCGGCGCTTGCGCTTGCGCATGCGGTGCGGGAATGGCGCAAGCGGGAACTGCTGCGGTTCCGGCAGGCTCGAGGCACTGTTTCTTCGAAGGCGGAAGCGGATAGGTCGATCCAACAGGCATAGGTGTTGCGGGCAGTGGACGTTTGATCGCATTGAGCGCCATCCCTGGTGACGCAAGACGGCATATAAAGACAAGACTGCATTAAGACACAAGACGGCATAAATTAACGCAGCACCGACTAAAAAGAAAGTGTAATGGTTCTTGAAAAGTGAAGCATGTTTCTGATCCCGCCCGATCGTTTCGCAAACAAAGAAACAGGCCTCAGATCGCGGCGTACCATCTGCCAAACGTGTCGCTAGCGGAAGGTGCGTCTCGGGGTCGATCCCCGACTCGCGCAGCTTCTTCTTTATTCTCGTATTCCAGTGGTTCTTTATGTCGTTGTCCGTGCGTCCGGGCAGCTCGAGGGCGATCTTGGCCCATCGATTGCCCATCTCCTTGTGCAGCCGCACGATCAGCCCCTCCTCTTCAGCCGAAAATGCGCCACGTTTCAAGTCCGGACGGAGGTAGTTGGCCCACCGGAGGCGACAACTCTTCCCGCAACGGATCAGCCCTGCGATGGGCAAGCGGACGAATCAGAATGCTCTTGTAAGATGTGGTTTTGGGAGCGTGCGTCACAATGCGAAAAGGCCGCATGGCGCGATCTCAACGTGCAAATTGAACGAAAATGTGCGCGAAACTGGAAGCGAAGAGGATCCCTGAGCGCAGCCGGCTCACCAGCTTTCTTGGGGATCGCGCTCCAGTTCCCCTCGCCGTGCTCCTTGATAGCTTTCACGAGCAGTTCGTCCTCTTCTCGCGTCCACGGCCCCTTTCGCACCTCCGCCTTTTCGCAGCACGGCGTTCTCGTCATCGTGATTCGTGATGCCTACGTCCGCGCCTAGAGCACTAATTGTGTTTCGACAACTTGATTATGATGAAAAAGGGCGCTAATTGACTAGGGATAGATCCTGTGACAAAAAGCTGGTTTTGCAAGCTAGCTGTAACTGAAACGTAGTGTGAAAGATCCTTCAGTGGAAGGCTGGAATACGAAAGAGCGGCTGAAGTTAATGGAAAAAATACTTCTGAATGTGCTCGCTGTTCATAGGGGGCAAGGCACCTGTGGGAAAATAATGGAATGTGAAACGGACTTGAACTGTGAAGTCCAAAAGCACTTTTGGGCTGTGGTGCAATGCTGCAAAAAGCTTTGCCAGTGATGGGTCTCCACGTTGATGATAACACGGCAGAAATGTGGGGGCCAGGAATCAGATCAAAGCAAGGCAGGAAGCAGGGGCAGACGCATCAGGTCGGGCGAGGCTGGAAGGCCAAGAAAAAACCGTAGGGCAGGGCAGCGAAGAGTTGCTTGCAGCAGTGCAGCATCTGATTGGGTCATCTGGAAACTGAACGAATCAGGAGATGTCGCCGCGTCAAAAAGGGACGTGGGCAGCCTGGTTTCGTTTCGGGTAGGACCATTTCGCTAAGGGCACATCAGGGGAGCTGCAGTTCAACGCTTGAAACCTTTCTTTTGATAATCGTTGACGGGCACGAAAACGGAAATGCGGTTCGACCGTGGACAGCTGCCTGATTCCTCCTGAAGCAGCCAGGGCGCCCACCGTGGCGAGGCGAGATCAACCAGCAAGCACCAGGACGTCATGATGACAGCGAAGCATCAAGGAAATACAAGTATCTGTGAGACCGAAACCGAACGCCTGCTCCCAACAGCAAGTCTAAAAATCTCTGCCCGTTATCACTTTAGAGCAGAAGCTCTCATAGTTTTCCGACTTCCAGACGAGTAGAATCAGCCCAACATAAACTGTTTCGTTGTGAAATCAGCCAGTTTGAGCGATTATTTGATAAGTTTGAAGTGCGAGGTATTTACAAACAAAATAGGGAGAAACAGTTGTCGAACTTATCAGGGGTTGATGGGAGCACGTTGGGCGAAGATGTGTAGCTGCGACATCAGCGTGCTCAAGCGTATGCAGCGTCACCACATTTCGTTTGCGGCGCTTCAACTTCGCTCAAGGCCTCAACGAGCTGCTTGAAGGCAAGAAGTGTCGCAAGCAACCGTCGCACTCGTGACACACTAACGGATTGTTACCGGCCATGTGCGCTGGTAACCACTTCAACAAACTGTTCAAGCCAGGTTGCAACGTGGGGGATAAGGTCTGTGTGGCTCAGCTTTGGCTCAATAAATTCAGTGCAGTGCCAGCGAAGATCAGTGGTCGACTGTTGGACTGATTGATTCATAGCTGTAAATTCGGCACGATTGTGCTTTATCCACTAAGATTGATCACACACCTTAGCAGTTTTTCACAAACGAATCATTTACTCCTTAACTAAGCAAGTCACCTTAGCGCATTGTGCCAGTCGACTTGGCTAAGTTCTCATGTCTGTGGTGAAACAAGACCGTAGATGTCTTGTGGGGCATAGACAGCTATACCTAAATATTTATAACAGATCACTCTTTCTGTCCACATTATCGAATGACCGTGGAAGAAGCAGGCTTCAACACGATACACGGATTCCAGCTGGATTCACAACCCATGACCAGTACGATTTGCGCGGCACGTGAATAGTCCCCTGGCTAGCATCACGGTCGCACAGCCTCTTCGTGTGTCGTCTCGCGTCGTGTCGTCGAAAAATTCGCCAGATCTTTCGAATGCAACGCAGGCCCCATCCGAGCAAGCACTTCATCATGTGTCCGCCCAGGTGGGTTCAGGCAGAGCCCATCTGATGAAGTTGCGACTCAGGTGTCGTCCTATTCAACTTCACCTCCCGCTCGGCAAGACGTTTTGTACCTTCTCTTGAGCATTATACCCGATAGTGTAAACCCGAAAGCATCAGTCCAGCATGGGACGAGGTGTAGAGAAGCGCAAGGAATGAAGAATAACGAGAATGTGATTGCAAAATAAGAGTGCACAGAATAACGAACAAGGAAATTGAAAAAATGAGACACATGGTAAAATCTTGGGCGGAATATGGCATAAATTGCTATGACCTGTTGGATTGCTCGGGGGGGAAGTACATTTCCTGACAGCACAAGATAATCATTTTTCACCTTGACAAGTTGACAGGTGTAGATTACCCCCCAATAGTCAGAATTGCAGGGGGGCGTCACTTAGGCAAAGGGGCGTCACTTAGCTGAAGGGGCGTCACTTAGTTGAAGGGGCGTCACTTAGTTGAAGGGGCGTCAACAGTTCCGTTACTTAGCCGTTACTTGTTCCAACGGCCACTGGCATCAACAGTTCCGTCATACGCTTTAGGTGGGTCCCTTACACTATGCTTCGTCTGTGCCTCTGCTCTCGCCGCTCCGCCGTTCGCACTCTCGCTGACGGGTTTCGTCGCGTCGTTCTCTCGTCGTCCAAGACAGCCACCATCAGCCGAACGAAAGTGGTAACCAGCACGGCGGCAGTCGCGACAATTAGACTTGGAACCACCGGCGTGTGCGATTCATCGCGCAAAGTTACCGCTTCCGCACAACCGCGCGGGGTTCCGCTCTCTGCGCATTCCCCGTATGTAGCGCATTCCGCGTATGCAGCGCCAACGCCACGCCTTTCCTCCACAGCCGCTCCCCCCGCTACCCCACTCTGGCGGCTTTCCCGCCCGCCTTCCCCGCGAAGCCCCTCCGCCATGCGACGTGACACTAGCGGATGCGCCGCGGCGGCGCCTGCTCTAGGCGAGTTTTCGAGCTCGCTCCCAGAAGCTGTCCACGTCAGCGACTATGTCCTCCACGAATCGGATCTTGCGATAGTCGACGGGAAGCGCGAGGAGATTAAAGCCCAACCAAATACGTCTCTAGTCATCTTGAACTTCAAGCTCCCGCTTTTCACGCCGATCCTCTGGCAGCAAGGTGCGCCGCGTCGCTACTCTCCCCGCAAACGGAATTTTGTCTCGTCTACTAGGCGAATAGGGTTACCGAGTAGAAGCGGTCGTTCTTTGACGCTTCGCCAATGCTGGGGAGCTGCGCGCCGAGCTGAGCTGTTCGCAGCGAACGCGATCAGCTCAGCTTCTAGTCAGAACAGAACAGCCCACACCCCTTTCTCTTTCCCCATCTCCCCTTGCTCTTCCCTCTCCTCTTTCTCCCCCGTTTCTCCCCTCTCCCCGCTTCATTCTCCGCCTACCAGCGGGATCGTTGCGGCTGTGCGCGGATGGCGGAGTGAACCGCCTGTACGACGAGCTTCCAGGAATGTTCCCGGGGGAGGACCCTGATGACGTCAGACGAAGGTGCGCACCCCTCCCCACCCTTCCCTTCCCCCCTTTCATGGACGAAGGCAGGCAGCCTACCTACCCCATACCCCCCACTCCCCATGCCCCCCAATCCCCATGCCCCCCAATCCCCATGCCCCCCAATCCCCATGCCCCCCAATCCCCATGCCCCCCAATCCCCATGCCCCCCAATCCCCATGCCCCCCAATCCCCATGCCCCCCAATCCCCATGCCCCCCAATCCCCATGCCCCCCAATCCCCATGCCCCCCAATCCCCATGCCCCCCAATCCCCATGCCCCCCAATCCCCATGCCCCCCAATCCCCATGCCCCCCAATCCCCATGCCCCCCAATCCCCATGCCCCCCAATCCCCATGCCCCCCAATCCCCATGTCCCCCAATCCCCATGTCCCCCAATCCCCATGCCCCCCAATCCCCATGCCCCCAATCCCCATGCCCCCCAATCCCCATGCCCCCCAATCCCCATGTCCCCCAATCCCCATGTCCCCCAATCCCCATGTCCCCCAATCCCCATGCCCCCCAATCCCCATGTCCCCCAATCCCCATGTCCCCCAATCCCCATGTCCCCCAATCCCCATGTCCCCCAATCCCCATGTCCACCAATCCCCATGTCCCCCAATCCCCATGTCCCCCAATCCCCATGCCCCACTCCTCTTGCCTCCTACCCCCCCACGCCCCCCTCTCTAGCCCTGATAATGCCCCCAAGCCATGTCTGCCTCCCCATGTCCCCCTCCCATCCTCTGTTGCCCTCCTGCCACGTTCATCAACACCAACACCAACCCAATCTCCAGCCCTCAACACCAATCTCCAGCCCTCAACACCAATCTCTCCAACCCTCCTTAGTCGACCCCCCTTTCCTTCTCTCCCCCCACCTCCTCTCTCACCCCTCTTCCATCTTCACTCCACCACACACATTCTCCCCCCTCTTCCTCCTCCTCCTCCTCCCCATATTTTCCCCTCCCCCTGTCCGCCCTCTCCCCAGACTCATGCCGCACATAATCAAGAGCGATCTAGACTCCGCCCGCCTTTTGACACGTCTCAGTGGCTTCTTCACCCCTCCCCCAACCCCCCCCCCCCCCCCCTTCTTCCCCAGGTTCGTGCCGCACATAATCAAGGGTGACCTGGACTCTGCGCGTCCCCAAGTGCTCGCCTTTTACAAGCAGCTCGTGAGTGCCACCACAGCTCATTCCTGTTTTGAGTCGACTCAAAACTTTTACAAGCAGCTCGTGAGTGCCACCACAGCTCATTCCTGTTTTGAGTCGACTCAAAACTTTTACAAGCAGCTCGTGAGTGCCACCACAGCTCATTCCTGTTTTGAGTCGACTCAGAACTTTTACAAGCAGCTCGTGAGTGCCACCACAGCTCATTCCTGTTTTGAGTCGACTCAAAACTTTTACAAGCAGCTCGTGAGTGCCACCACAGCTCATTCCTGTTTTGAGTCGACTCAAAACTTTTACAAGCAGCTCGTGAGTGCCACCACAGCTCATTCCTGTTTTGAGTCGACTCAAAACTTTTACAAGCAGCTCGTGAGTGCCACCACAGCTCATTCCTGTTTTGAGTCGACTCAAAACTTTTACAAGCAGCTCGTGAGTGCCACCACAGCTCATTCCTGTTTTGAGTCGACTCAAAACTTTTACAAGCAGCTCGTGAGTGCCACCACAGCTCATTCCTGTTTTGAGTCGACTCAAAACTTTTACAAGCAGCTCGTGAGTGCCACCACAGCTCATTCCTGTTTTGAGTCGACTCAAAACTTTTACAAGCAGCTCGTGAGTGCCACCACAGCTCATTCCTGTTTTGAGTCGACTCAAAACTTTTACAAGCAGCTCGTGAGTGCCACCACAGCTCATTCCTGTTTTTAGTCGACTCAAAAATTTTACAAGCAGCTCGTGAGTGCCACCACAGCTCATTCCTGTTTTGAGTCGACTCAAAACTTTTACAAGCAGCTCGTGAGTGCCACCACAGCTCATTCCTGTTTTGAGTCGACTCAAAACTTTTACAAGCAGCTCGTGAGTGCCACCACAGCTCATTCCTGTTTTGAGTCGACTCAAAACTTTTACAAGCAGCTCGTGAGTGCCACCACAGCTCATTCCTGTTTTGAGTCGACTCAAAACTTTTACAAGCAGCTCGTGAGTGCCACCACAGCTCATTCCTGTTTTGAGTCGACTCAAAACTTTTACAAGCAGCTCGTGAGTGCCACCACAGCTCCTTCCTGTTTTGAGTCGACTCAAAACTTTTACAAGCAGCTCGTGAGTGCCACCACAGCTCATTCCTGTTTTGAGTCGACTCAAAACTTTTACAAGCAGCTCGTGAGTGCCACCACAGCTCATTCCTGTTTTGAGTCGACTCAAAACTTTTACAAGCAGCTCGTGAGTGCCACCACAGCTCATTCCTGTTTTGAGTCGACTCAAAACTTTTACAAGCAGCTCGTGAGTGCCACCACAGCTCATTCCTGTTTTGAGTCGACTCAAAACTTTTACAAGCAGCTCGTGAGTGCCACCACAGCTCATTCCTGTTTTGAGTCGACTCAAAACTTTTACAAGCAGCTCGTGAGTGCCACCACAGCTCATTCCTGTTTTGAGTCGACTCAAAACTTTTACAAGCAGCTCGTGAGTGCCACCACAGCTCATTCCTGTTTTGAGTCGACTCAAAACTTTTACAAGCAGCTCGTGAGTGCCACCACAGCTCATTCCTGTTTTGAGTCGACTCAAAACTTTTACAAGCAGCTCGTGAGTGCCACCACAGCTCATTCCTGTTTTGAGTCGACTCAAAACTTTTACAAGCAGCTCGTGAGTGCCACCACAGCTCATTCCTGTTTTGAGTCGACTGAAAACTTTTACAAGCAGCTCGTGAGTGCCACCACAGCTCATTCCTGTTTTGAGTCGACTCAAAACTTTTACAAGCAGCTCGTGAGTGCCACCACAGCTCATTCCTGTTTTGAGTCGACTCAAAACTTTTACAAGCAGCTCGTGAGTGCCACCACAGCTCATTCCTGTTTTGAGTCGACTCAAAACTTTTACAAGCAGCTCGTGAGTGCCACCACAGCTCATTCCTGTTTTGAGTCGACTCAAAACTTTTACAAGCAGCTCGTGAGTGCCACCACAGCTCATTCCTGTTCTTGTGCTGCAATTTAATCTGCTGGCACTACAAGCAGCCGCTGAGTTTTGAGACGCCGTACAGCTCCTTTGGTACGCCTCAAAACGCGTCTCGAAACATTATCAAGGGCGACTTGGGCTCGGCTCGGTGCGCCCTCAAGTGCTCGCGCACCACAAGCCACTCGTTTGTGGCAAGTGCCTTGTGGCAGGTGCCTTGTGGGTGCAGTGCAGATATGGACGAAAAGACTATCTCCTCTTTCCGCCCATCTCTCCTGTGCCTTGAGGGTGCGGAGATAGTTGGCACGCGAAAAGACTAGGACACCACAGGCCTGCACAGATCCACAATTGCTTATCTATCGTCCCGCCCTTCCGCCACTTCCTCCTCCTCGTTCTGCCCCTTCTTCTCTTCCTTCCTTCTGATGCCTTCTCTCCCAACAGGGCGCAGAGATAGTGGACATGCGGAAGGACCAGGACACCACGGACCTACACAAGTGCCTTCACTGAGATCCCTCTGCCCTTTTCCCCCCTCCCCTCTCCCCCCATGCTCCTCTTCCTCCTCCTTCTGCCCATTCTTCCTGTTGTAAATGAAGTGTTTTGAGACGTCTCAAACACTTTTTTTATCACGTGACAAGTGCCTCCACTGAGATCCCTCCTCCCCCTTCCCCATCTCTCTCCCTCCATGCTCCACTTCCTCCTCCTTCTGCCCATTCCTCCTCCTTCTGCCCATTCCTCCTGTCCCTTGTCCCACAGGGTGCGGAGATAATGGACACGAGCAAGGACCAGGATACCACAGACCTGTGCAAGTGCATCCGCTAGCATCCCTGTTCCTCCTCCTCCTCCCCCCCCACCCCTTCTTCTCTTCCTTCTTCCCATCCCTCTCGGGCGCTGTCTGCCCACAGGGCGCGGAGATAAGTGGATATGAGCAAGGACCAGGACACCATGGACCTGCACAAGTGCATCAACCGGATTCTGCTCTTCCTTCCCCTCCTTTGCCCCTGCGCCTTCGGCTCCTCCTCCCCATCTCTCCTGTGCATTCCCCCCCCCCACAGGGCGCGGAGATAGTGGATATGAGCAAGGACCAGGACACCACGGACCTGCACAAGTGCATCAACCGGATTTTGCTCGACACCGGCCACGCCAGCTCCGTCACTCCCTCCGCCATCCCTCCTCCTACACCTTCTCCCCCTCCCCTCTCCGAATCCACTGCTGCTGCCCAAACCCCTTCCACCACTGCCACCACCACTGCCAACACCAACAACACGGGATCTACAGCCAATGCTGCTCTATACCCAGAATCTTCGTCCTTTTCTCTTAATTCCGCACCAGAAACGCACTCTTCTGCACTTGCCCAACAACCACACAATAGAATCCTCTCCCAACCCGAGCCTAAACACGAACCTCCTGCTTTGCCTCGGCCGGACAAGCCACAGCCCCGAGCCCTCCTCCCAGCGAAGGTGGTTCGGCCGGACCAGAGAGTGATCGTGGTGGGGTCACTAGGCGGCCGCATGGACCACGAATTCGGAAACGTGAACGTGCTCCACAGGTTCCGCCACGTCAGCATCGTGCTGCTGTCGGAGGACTGCCAGCTGTTCCTGCTGCCAGCTGGCTGGCGCCACGTCATCACGCCTCACCCGCGGTGGGAGGGGCCGCACTGCGGGCTGATTCCTGTGGGGGAGCCGTCGCATGGGACCACGACGACTGGGCTGAGATGGAATCTATGTGAGTGGTGTGTGGTGGTGTGAAGGGGTGTGAAGTGGTTTGAGTCGAGCACATGTTGTTGCAGGTGTAGTTGAATGAGGGGCCGCACTGCGGGTTGATCCCTGTGGGGGAGCCGTCGCATGGGACCACGACTACAGGCTGAGGTGGAATGGAATCTATGTGAGTGGTGTGTGGTGGTGCGTATTAGTTTGAGTTGACTGCCTGTTGTCGCAGCTGTAGCGGCATGAGGGGCGCACAGTGGGTTCATCCCTGTGGGGGAGCCTTCTACTGGGACCACAACAATTGGAATGAAATGGAATCTATGTGAGTGGTGTGAAGGGGTGCGTAGTGGTTTGAGTTGAGCACCTGTTGTCGGAGCTGTAGCAGCACAAGGGGTCAGTTCCACTGGGGGGGGAGCCTTCACATGGGCCAGCAGCATGTGAGCTGAAATGGAATTAAGTGGTGCCGCTCGCGTACAACCTTTTACTCCCTCACTCTTATCCTCCGTTTCTTATTGACCCTCTCTTTCCCCTTTCTCCTCTCACTCTCTTGCACTCCCCCCTCGTTGATTCCTCCCTCATCTCCTTCCCTCCTCCCTTGCTACGTGCTGCCCCCTCCCTTGTTTTCTCGCCTCCCCACCAGCCAACACACCAATGCGGTTTGGTGGCCTTGTCAGCACGTCAAACCTTGTTGTTGCGCCAACTGTCACTGTCGAGTCTGACGTGGACCTTATCTGGACATGTGCTGTTACATACCCTCCTAAAAAATACTAGTGTGGTTCACATTGTTTATTCGTATAGTTGGAAGAACGTTTCTAGTTGCCCATTGGCAAGCACTTGGGTGGGTGCGAAAAATGCTGGAAAGTTCAGGTTAGTACGAACCACTACAACCATGCTGGGCTTTAACGTGCAGACTATGCTCGAAATTCCTGACGTAGCATTTGTCTATTTATTTTCTAGCATGACCCCTAGATACGGGATTGGACTTGCCTAGTGTAGTAATTTAGATGGCGTTCACAGCAAGTTAGCTCAAAGCGAACCGCGCTCAACAACAGTGCACAGATATTTGTGAAGCACGTGTTGGGGGTTGCTACACGAAAATTTGTTCCGAACGATTTTGAAGTTTCTGGGGTTACATGCACGTGATTGGGTCTGTTACTTCGCACGTGGAGTGGGTGTGCTCGGTTGCAAAACTGCCACGCTGGACAGAATATTCCTGTTTTTGGGACTCTTGAGCGCGGTTCGCTTTGAGCGAACTTGCTGTGAACGCCATCTTACGATACTGTAATGGGGAACAAGAATCACTTGGCATCCCCCCCAACCTGGCAGTTATGGCAGTTTTGCTTTGCGATTCGGCCCGACCAGGCCGATCAGGCCGATCAGGCCAATGACGGCAGGCCGATCAGGCTAATGACGGCAGGCCGATCAGGCTGGTCGGGCGAGTCAGGGGCCCTTGGGATTGGCTCGCAGGGAGACTAGATGAGGTGACTCAGGAAATCCGTGGTAGCTCTCGCTAGTCTCAGCAATACTGTACACTGTAAACTGTACAGAATTCGCCGTCGCTGTTCTCACTCACCCCAGTCCCGTCCCGTCCCGTCCCATTCTGAAACGACTGTCGTCGGGTTTCCCGTCCAACGTCCTCCCCAACTCAACTCAACAACAACTGGTCCTGATTTCTCCCAACTTTGTCGCACTAGTTCTTCTTATCTAGGAAGCAATGAGCTCTAAACGTGAAGTTCTAGGGATTTATTCTTATGCTAGTCCACCTACATGCTTAGCCTTTTATCAAATGGCGAGCAGGAAGCGTCTCCGAGACGCGGTTTTGCCTGGCCGCATACGCTGTTGTCTGCTCAGCTTGTGTACGCAGCTATTTCTCTGCCTCGTTTGTCTCGTGGTTGGGACAGATGCGACACGTACTGCTTCCACGAAACTGCTTGACGAATCAGTAGGTGTGATATTTCTCTCTCACATCGCGCGCAACGTCACGTTTGTCGCCACAGCGCTTCGCATCCGATCGCGTTGTCGCCAAAGCGCGTCACATCCCATCGCGTTTGTCGCCCAAAGCGCGTCGCATCCCGTCGCGTTTGTCGCCAGAACGCCGACAGTCTGTAGCCAACCTTTTCAAATCGTGTCCGCTGCAACCCCTCCCGCCTGACTCTCCAGGCCCGTTACGACTCGTCGGACGACAGTTGGCACCGTGACGGTGACGGTAGCACCCAGCATGCGAAGGATCATTCTTCGCATTACGTTCATGCGAGCGACAGCGCCGCCCGCGATAATCGGAGGCAGCTGCAGCTGGTGGGGCACGTGAAGGCGTTTGAAGCCCAGCTACAATACTATGTTCCCCTCCCCGTCAGGTGAGCGTGCGACATATCAGGCGAGCGTGCTGACATATCAGGCGAGCGTGCGACATATCAGGCGAGCGTGCGACATATCAGGCGAACTTGCGACGTATCAGGCGAGCGTGCGACATATCAGGCGAGCGTGCGACATATCAGGCGAGCTTGCGACATATCAGGCGAGCGTGCGACATATCAGGCGAGCGTGCGACATATCAGGCGAGCGTGCGTCATATCAGGCGAGCGTGCGACATATCAGGCGAGCGTGCGACATATCAGGCGAGCGTGCGTCAAATCAGGCGAGCGTGCGTCAATTCAGGCGAGCGTGCGACATATCAGGCGAGCGTGCGACGTATCGGGCGAGCGTGCGACATATCAGGCGAGCGCGCGACATATCAGACAAGCGTGCGACATATCAGGCGAGCGTGCGACATATCAGGCGAGCGTGCGTCAAATCAGGCGAGCATGCGTCATATCAGGCGAGCGTGCGACAAATCAGGCGAGCGTGCGTCATATCAGGCGAGCGTGCGACAAATCAGGCGAGCGTGCGACAAATCAGGCGAGCGTGCGTCATATCAGTGCACTCTTAACCAGGCTCTCCCCGTCATCTACGCTGCATTTCAATGTGCATCTCTTTATCATGCTCTCACCCATTCCCTCCCCTCCTTTCTCACTCCCACCCGTCCCCTCGTCCTCTCCCTGATCGCCTTTCTCCATCTCTCTCCCCATTAGGAACCATCCAGAGAGAACCAATCTCTTCATCGGACCCCTTGGGTTTGCCTACAACTCCTCCAACCACCCAATTGTGTTGCTACAGTACCACGAGCACGACACGCACTGGGGAACCCTCGCCCACTGCCACGGCGACACGTGTCCCGCCCTAACCTCCTGCGGCCCGGCCTTCCCGAACCTCCGCGCCTGCTGGAACCCGGACCTGGTTGATCCGGACCGAGTTTCCCTCGACCCGCCCGTGAACTGCCCGAAAAGAAACGCCACGGCAGGGTTGGATCCGCACACGAGGAAGCATGTATCGGACGGGTATGACGAGACGTGCTCGCATAGGGAGGATTTTAACCCGCGGGACGCCATGGCGCTGCAGATGTTTGAGGTGAAGGGCGCGTATGTGACGGACAAGGGCTACGTTTTCAACCGCACTCATCGATTCGTGCGGCCGAGCTGTGGCAGGTTCAACGAGGTGAGAGGCACAGGGTTTGAATGAGGCTCACTGTCCCTGACAGACCTGGTGGGTCTGGTATGCATGGAAGAGACCATGCCGCTGCTCCTCGTCGCCTCTTCTCAGTCCCTCTCCCCACCCCCCTCTGTCCTCTCCCCATCCCCTTCTCTCCTCCCCCCCACCCCTCGAGCAGATATCCTTTTCATCAGAGCAGCAGGTGCATCTGCTACCAGCAGCCTTCACGTGGAGCAACTCGTACGGGTTCAACTTCTACCACTTTGTTGCAGAGACCATGCCGCTGCTCCTCGTTGCTGCGCCGCTGCTGCCGCGCATCATGCCCTCCACGCCCATCCTTGCCAGCCGCATGCAGGTGGGGGCAATGAACTGACAGGTAAAGCCTGTACACGCCTTTGCACTCAGCTTGTACGCGCGCGTGCTGTGCTGCTGCACCGCTTCTGCGCCGCTGCTGCCCCACATCATGCCCTCCACGCCCATCCTTGCCAGCCGCATGCAGGTGTGTGTGTTCAATGAACTGACATTGAAAACATGCAGTATACATGCCAGTACATTCCTCTACATTCTTGTGCGCATGTTTGCTTTGCTGCGCCACTGCTGACCCGCATCATGCCCTCCACCCCCATCCTCACCAGTCGCATGCAGGTGGGTTCAATGAACTGACATTGAAAGGCAGGCAGTATACATACATGCATGCATGTTCGCCAGCCGGATTTCACCCATTTGAACTGATTAAACCTTGCCATCAGAAGATATATATTTCTGAGGTGCAGGACAGACGGCCTAGTCTAGTCCATGTGATCAGCAGATGCGCTGAACTGCAGTCATTGACATTGTCCCCTGTTTGGAGGCTTCAACCAACCACTCTCCCACTTGGCATTGAATTGAAACGATGGCTTCAGTATGCAATCGCTTTGATTGAAAGCTTGTTGGAATCAAGGACGGGTCAATCGTGTCCTGTGCTTCCAGTTTTGAGGCGCCTCAAAACTGTGCTTCCTCTCTTGATTGACAAATTTTCTTCGCCTTCCCCTCTCATCTCCCTGCCTCGCAGTGGGAGGTGTACAAGCAGTTCGGGGAGCCGCTCATAGGCATCAAGTACGAGGACATGCGCGTGCTGCTTCTCATGGCTCATACATGATTATACCTTTCCTCTTCCGCTCTTCTCCCCCCCTCGCTCCCAGTGGGAGGTGTACAAGCAGTTCGGGGAGCCGCTCATAGGCATCAAGTACGAGGACATGCGCATGCTGCCTCTTGTGGCCCAGGATCTCTTCTTTGTCGAAACGCTCTATGAGGTAAGCCCGCGCTGCTGCGTGGAAATCCTTCAGGCGTTGCTACCTGCTGCACCTGCTAGAGTGCACCCGCATGAGTGTACCCGCTGGAGTGTACCCACTTGAGTGTACCCACTTGAGTGTACCCGCTTGAGTGTACCCGCTTGAGTGTACCCGCAGGAGCAGTCTCTCCATCTACAGTGGACTCAAGGCCTTCCCTCCCTCCCACTCCCCCTCCTTTCCCCCTGGCTTCAGCCCATCGCCCAGACCTGCGGCAGCCCCTCCAAGGCGCTCTGGCAATCGCTCAGGCGGACCCACCTGCTGCACCCACATGGGCTGCCTCTCTTCCGCCCCGACTGGTCCTACCAGCCGCCGCCGCCGCTGTCGCCGCAGCAGGCGCAGGCGCTGCCACCTGACTGGGTGGTGGTGCTGGCGAAGCGACCCGCTAAGAAGCGATCCATTAGTAACTTTGAGGAGGTGGAGGAGGTGGTGGAGAGGGCGTTTGCTAAGGAGAGAGTTGTGAAGTTCACCGGGTCGCTGTCTGTGCTGGAAGGTAAGCTGCTGCTGTGATATGATGTGATGTGACGTGATGTGATGTGATGTGTTGTGATGTGATGTGATGTGATGTGATGTGATGTGTTGTGTTGTGATGTGATGTGATGTGATGTGATGTGATGTGATGTGATGTGATGTGATGTGATGTGATGTGATGTGATGTGATGTGATGTGATGTGATGTGATGTGATGTGATGTGAGTGCTGGCTGTGCTCTGCTTTGAGGCAATCTTTAAGGTACCTCAATAAAAGGTTAGTGGCTCGATGTCTGTGTTGGAACATGACCAGCAACACAGCTGCTGCTGCTGCTGCTGCTGCGGCTGCTGCTGCTGCTGCTATTGCTTTGTTGTTGTGAGCTCTAGGATTATCCGGATTTGGGGTCAGCAGTGCCTTAAAGGATGTTATCTTGCTTGTTGTCTGTACTGGAAGGTGTGCTGTTGCTGTGATGCGAGCTATTGTACTCCATAAGGTGGAATAGCTGATTCTGTAATCTTGTCATCTTGTCTGCTCATCCTCTGGTACCTAAAATTTATCTGCATGCCCAAAATGGTCAAGTGCCTCTCCCCTAGCTTCATAAAGCTTTCCTCTCCACCTCATCTCTTCCTTCTCTCCCATATTCATTGCACCTTCCGTCCCCTTCCCCTTCCCACCATCTGCTTCGCACACCCATGCCCAACCATGCAGCTAGAGAGTTATTCGGCGTACGCGTCTCTTCATAGCAGGCCATGGGGCGGCACTCACAAACCTCATCTTCATGCCAGAAAAGACCTCCGTTTTGGAAATCAGACCAGATGGATGTGCTGTCGTCTGTTACAATCATCTGGCATATGCGTCGTCGCTCGTCTACCATCTCGTGTTCAGCCATGGCGGTTGTGATGATACCGTACGAGCGGATGCGGGAAAGGTTGCACCGGTTCTCCAAAACATTAAGGCACGATTTGACAATGAGGATGCTAATGATGTAACAGTGCAACTGGTCGATGACTCTGTACTGTAGGATGTGAAAGGATATCCGATGCTGACGGTGATGCTGCAGCCAGCACAGCACCGCAAGTCAAGCGTCAAGCATTCCAAAAACCGAGTCGCAAGTACGCACCGCAAGAATCCAAAATTCCCGCAACCTCTTTCTCTCCGCTTACCTCATTTTGTGGATTCGTTTCCGCCCGAACAGCCCCACCCCATCCCATCTCCCCAGACACCACTCACCTCACCATTGCCCGTTGCTCCAGTCCAGTTATTTCCCGTTTGACTAGGTAGACTGCCGCACCTTTTCCCCCTCCTGTCGCCTCGCCTCCTCGTCCCCTGCCCCGCCGGCTTTGCCCAACATTCCCCTCCCTCCCCCCTCCATTTTGCACCCCTCCCCGCCAAGCGCACGCACGATCGCCCCCAGGGACACTGCCAGGCGATGCCAGCAGAAGGGTCGACTCACTTCCGACGAAGAGACTCTACTGGATCTGGGCTACGCAAGGACCTTCGCCGTCTGGTCTGTCTGAGTAACGAAATTTGGGTTCACATAAGACAGGATGTTTCTTTACTTGCCAGGTGGTATTTATTTCGTCCAAGCTGCTCAGCGCGTGCTTCAATTTTTGCGGGCCTAGCCATTACAATTTCCCCGAGCGTGTCCGACGGTCGTCAGAGCATCTGTGCTCGCTACTGGTTCAGATTGAGACGACAAGTCGATTCAGTAAGTAGAGCTACGTTCGCGACGTTGACGACGTTCACGACGCTCACGAAGGTCACCGCGCGACACAGAACGACACCACCCCCATTAAAGTCAGCGTCGTCATACAGCAAGTGGTCCCCAGTGCCCTCGTTTTGAGTCGACTCAAAAGTCACCTCGTCGTCTTTGGTCCCCAGTGTCCCCACCTTAATGGCGGCGCCCTCGAATCTGCGTTTCCAGCGGCGGCGGCTGCGGCAACTAACGTATCCAAACTCGCTCCCGCTTCTCCTCGTAATCGGCGGTGCGTGCTCTCAGCGGATGTTTTTTTTTCCAGTTTTGAGAACTCTCAAGAATGATACATGCGTGCTCTCAGCGGGTGTATGTTGACACCCCCCTTGCTGATTCGTAGCTTTGATTCGTAGCTTAACCACTCATTCTCCCGAGCCGCGAATGCCACGTGGCCCATGAGGAGGCCACTTATAGTAGAAGCACCCCACGTTCCTTATCATGGGGTGATCCCTCATACGCCTCTCATCCATCTCTCCCCTCTCTCACCCTCTCTCTCCGTCCCCTCCGCCCTCCGCACCTTCCGCCCTCCGCTCGTTTCGATTCGCAGCTGTCGTTATCGCGGTCAGTCAACTGACGCCGTCCGTCGCCGCCTCTGCCGCCGGTATGTGCGGCGCTCGTCGTCTTTTTTTTAGATCGGCGCTCGGCGCTCGTCGTCCGGCGCTGGTCGTCTAATGACAAACTTTTGCGGCGCCTCAGTGGTCCTTTATGACGGACTGATTCCCCGCTCTTCGCGCATGCGAGTACGCATGCGACCTCAGATTCTTTTTTTTTCTCTCTCTCTCAAAAAACCATTACGCATGCGACCGCAGCTTCTGAGTGTGCGAAAGCCAGCGGGATGTTCACCTTCCCATGAGTCCCCATGACTCCCCATGACTCCCCATGACTCCCCATGACTCCCCATGACTCCCCATGACTCCCCATGACTCCCCATGACTCCCCATGACTCCCCATGACTCCCCATGACTGAACCAGCTATTTAAATTTCTGAAAAATTGCCCCGGTGAGCCAGCTATTTTAGAATTCTCGGAAATTGCCTCACTGAACCGTCGTGACCACAGCCTTCATTCGCGTCCCTCGCTTCCTCAGAGGCTCTGTCGCTCTTTTTTCCAGTCTTTCTCATCTCTGTGGGCTTTTATATTGAAATTTTTGAAATTTCAGTGTAGTTTGCCTCCGTCTCTCTCGCTTTGTCGCCCCCTCTTGGGAGCAACTCTCGTGTGTTGTCATTGTTCCGACCTTCCCCATTCCCATCGTCCCCGATCCTCATGCACGCGCAGATGCGTATCGCTTCGCGGAGCTCGTAGACGGCGAGTCGCGAGCGGTCGTTTACCTCTACGTCAAGTGAGCGCCTCGCCTTCCCTTCATCCTTTACATGCCTTCGTCAGCGCACTTCCCGCTAACTATTCTTCCAACCCTTGTTTCTGTCTCCTAAAACTCTTTCCATTCATCCCTTCTTACCCCCTTTCCACCCATCTTCCCCCATTTTCTTTCCACCCCCTCCCGTTCCCACCCACACCAGCTTCAACCCAGCACTTCCACCATCCAACCAGCCTGCACCACTGTCTTGACTTCTCCCCTCTTTTCCCCGCCATCCCTCCCCCCGGTCCCCTCCTCCCCCGCTCGCCTTCCCTCCGACCCACATCCAGCTTCGATTCCGCCACCACCACCATCCAAGCCACCTACAAGATCTTCGCCGCTCTCCCCGCGGGTCCGCCAGTCTACATCACGCTTGCAGGCACAACCGTCCCCGGATGCGACCCGACCAAATGCAGCCTCCCCCCAGGCGGCCCCACATGGACCCAGCCCGTGCCGTCCGTGTGGCAGGCCATCGGAACCTTCACCAGGAGCCCAGTGACGGATCCCGAGCGCTATGGCGCGCTGCTGCAGCTGATTGACAACTCGCTGGTGTTCCCCGGGGTGGTCATGGCGTATAAAGACGCGCAGGGAGCGCTGAAACCGGTGATGGCGCAGCTCCGCGCCGATTCCACGCGGAAGATTCGTAAGTGGGGGTGTGGAGCAGGGAGAGGGCAGTGTGATTCTTACTAAAGAGGTCGAGCTTGCGAGAAGTAGTAATTTTTTTCAGTCTGATTGCCTGGCCTGTCCTTTCCTTGTGACATCTCCCTTGCTCACCTGCATGTGTTACTTTGGCACTTTCCTTTGGCGCTTGCACCTCAAGCTTGCATCTGGCAATTCCTTTTCTCCTTCAATCCTGTCTTCCTTCGATAAACTACCAACCTTGCACTCCTCTGCCCGCCCTTCCACACCCCCCCTTGCACAGTCTCCCCCCGTCCCTCTGCTTCTGCCTGCAGTGGAAGTGGGCCCCATCCCAGCATACGTGCCGAGCCCGCAGTACGTGGTTCGCTTCCTCTCCTACATGCCAGGCGGCGCCAACCTCTCCCTCTCGCAGTCGTGAGTCACACTCACTCCCATCGCCGGATCTCACTTTTCGGCACGATTACTGCAGTGCCGTGCCTCGCCTGAGCCACACTTACTGCAGTGCTGTGCCTCGCCTGAGCCACACTTATTGCAGTGCCGTGCCTCGCCTGAGCCACGGCTTTTGGCCCTTTCCCACCCGCCAATGCTTTCTTCTGTCTCAACAACTCGCTGTGACTTACCGCCTTCCTCTCTCCTTCCTCCTTCCCATTCCGTCTCTCCCCCTCTGCAGCACCGACGGGCTGTCCTTCCAGGCGAGCTTTGCGGCTGTCGTGGTGTGGTAGTGCCCACTGAGGAGCTCATCACGACCATCTCACTCTGTTCCTCCCTGCGCCCATTCCGCCGATTCCCCTGTGCAGCACCGACGGGCTGTCCTTCCAGGCGAGCTTCGTGGTTGCCGTGGTGGTGCCCACAGAGGAGCCTATCAGCATCTTCCTCAACGTCAACCTGCTTGACGCCCTGCCACCACCCCCCTTGCCCCCTGCCGGGGGGTGCGCGGCTAAGAAGGAGAAAGGGAACAACAAGGACAAGAGCAAGGTTAAGGGGAAGGACAAGCCCAAGTGTAACAAGGGCAAGGGCGAGGGGGGGGAAGAAGAAGGGGGGAAGAAGAGGGGGGAGAAGAAGGGGGGAGAAGAAGGGGGAGAAGAAGAAGGGGGAGAAGAAGGGGGGAGAAGGGGGGAGAAGAAGGGGGGAGAAGAAGGGGGGAGAAGAAGGGGGGAGAAGAAGGGGGGAGAAGAAGGAGGAGATGATGACGAGTGTTGCGACGACGATGGTGACACGCTTCCTCCCCTGCCGATGACGCCCAATGTCACTTCCACACGCGCGTTTCTTTACAGCAACAACAGCCCGTGCGATCTGAACTGCACGTCGGTCATTGTTCTCCATGGCACTCAAAGCTGGAGCTTTGTAGGGCTGACCCCCGAGGCCCTTGCGGCGAGTGCTGGATATAATGCCTTGGTGGCGCTTATGCAGTATGCCAGTACGGGTGTGAAGGGACGGCTGGTGAATGCTACAATGAAGCTCGCGGCTATTGATCAGCCCAATGGCCCCAACGACCTATTGCAACGTGTTTAGCTGTTGTCAGGTCAGTTGCAGCATTTTTGTGTGCTTTGTTTTTGTTTGTTTTGCTCTGTCTTTGTTGTGTGTGTTTTATTTCTATTTCTGCTGTATATAACGTGGAACTAGTTATGTCGCCATGAAACAATTTGTGTGGCTAATTTGCGGGCTCTTGGTTTAGCTAGCTACTCTGTTTTACAAATCGAGCTTCGTACCCATAGCCCTCTCATATCCGATAGCTCTATGAGTTGTGCTTTAACCTATAGCGGGTTTCTGGTCCATTGGCTCCGCTCCACCTCGATCTCGCCGCCGCCCCTCAAATTCCACCCTTGCACACACCCCGCCGAATCAGACCAGATCGGACAGGATCAGACCGGATCGGACCGGATAATATCACTGCTTACTGTTCCCATCGCGACGCGGCAACATCGATGGTCGCCGTCATGCCAGCTGTCGCGGGAAACGCGCTCTTAGCGCACGCCGCGCCGCCCTGTTTGACGCACAACCAAAACCCAGCTGCAAACCACGCCGCGGCTTGCGCTGGTTTCAGCACAAATCGCCGTGAGAATGGTTGTCGCCGCGCATTACGGAAAGAGGTGTCCGATTCGAGCATTTCACGCGGTCGTTTCACCGATCCCGTACCCTTCGACCTGTCAGTTGCGATCTCTAGCGGCTGCGCATTCCAAAACCGACGGCGACCAAGAAAAGGTCGAAAAATAGTAGCAGCCGTTGGATTACCTAACTCAAACGGCGATCGTACGGACACGGGACACTTGATCAGCCAACCAGATGAGGCCACCCAGTCTCCAAACGCAGTGGCAACTGCAGCGGCCGAGGCAACCGACAGACTCGCTGACGTGGCAGCCGTGTCGAAGTTTGATGGACGAGACGGGACAACAGCAGCGCCAGTGTCAGGCGAGGCTTCGGAATCAGGAAGAAGATCAGACAGAGCAGCATCGCCGCCGACACCAACACCAACACCAACACCAACACCAACACCAGCAGCAGTCATAGAAGCAGCACCAAAATCACGACCAGTAGCAGCAGCGCCCCCAGCAGCAGCGGCGGCGGCGGTGGCGGTGCCGGCGCTGGTGGCGCTGGTGGCGGCGGCGCTGGTGCTGTGCAACGCGGACCGCGTGATCATGTCCGTTGCCATCCTTCCCCTCTCCGCATCCCACGGCTGGCCGCCCAGCGTCGCGGGCATCGTGCAGGTGAGGGGTTGGGCAGAAAGGGAGACGGGGGAAAGGGAAAGGGGGGAGGAAGGGGGATCATAACCACAGAAGCACTGTTGGCGCCGCTGCTTCTTGCTCTCCGCATCCCACGGCTGGGCGCCCAGCGTCGCGGGCACCGTGCAGGTGAGGGGGCGAGGGGACAGGAAAAGAGGGGCGGGAGAAGACGAGGTTTCGTAACTCGTTTTAGTCGACAGGGGCGTCGGTCGGTGGTGCCCTGGAATCGTTGGGAATCACGTTCTCCTTGTGATCGTTGGGGTCTTTCGTAACTCCACTCAAACTTCCCTTCCCTCTTCTGGCTCTCCTCTCTCCCCCCCCCCCCCCCACACACCTTTTCCCTCCCCCAACCCTTCCAGTCCTCGTTCTTATGGGGCTACCTCATAACCCCCATTATTGGAGGGTCGCTCGCTGACCGCTACGGTGGCCGCCCCGTGCTGGCAGCAGGGCTGGCGCTCTGGTCACTCGCCACGCTGCTCACGCCTGCCGCTGCCGCACACTCCCTGGGTGCTCTGCTAGCTGTGCGGGCAGTCATGGGGCTGGGGGAAGGGGTGGCGCTTCCATGCATGAACCACATGGTCTCACGGTAAGAACAGTCGTGCCCTGCTTGGCACGGGGGCTGCTTGGCACGGGGGCTGCTTGGCACGGGGGCTGCTTGGCACGGGGGCTGGTTGACACGGGGGCTGGTTGGCACGGGGGCTGGTTGGCGCTCTGGTCGCTCGCCACGCTGCTCACGCCTGCCGCTGCCTTCAGCATGGTGCGGCAGCGGCTGCTCTCAGCGCCCTCGCCTCGCTCATGGCCCTTCCTTTCCCCCATGCACCCCCATTCCACTCCTCCCAACCACAGTTCCGTGCCAGAGCAGAGGCGAGCGTGGGCGGTGGGAATCTGCTTCGCGGGGTTTTGATGGGGGAATATGCTGGGGCTGCTCTCCGCGCCCGCGCTCATAGCCCTTCCTTTCCCCCATGCCTCCCCATTCCATTCCTTTCATGCAGCTACGTGCCAGAGAGCAGGAGAGCGTGGGCAGTGGGAATCTGCTTCGCGGGCTTCCACGTGGGCAGCATGGTGGGGCTGCTCTCAGCGCCCTCCCTCATGGCGCTGCCCGGTCTGGGCGTGACCGGCCCCTTCCTGCTCTTCGGCGCGCTGGGGCTGCTCTGGCTCGCGCTGTGGCTGCTCCTCGTGCCTGGCGATGCCTGTGCTGCGCCCAGTGCGCCTGCTGCCTCGCCCAGTGCAGATAGTGGCGGGCAGCTGGACGGGAAACAGAAGGTGCAGAGTGGTGTTGGTGCGAGTGGGTCGCGTGTGACGGTGTGGCAGCTGCTGTCTCACCCGGCTTCATGGGCCATCATCATCGCCAACACTGTCAATAACTGGGTGAGGGGAAGGGGATGCGTATGGTTTTCATTGACAACTAACACCAGCACCACCAGCACCACCAGCACCATTGTGTGACGGTGTGGAAGCTTCTGTCACACCCAGCTTCATAAGCTATCATCATCGCCAACACTGTCAATAACTGGGTGAGAAGAACGGGATGCGTATGGTTTTGATTGACAACTAACACCATCACCACCAGCACCACCAGCACCAATGTGTGACGGTGTGGAAGCTTCTGTCACACCCAGCTTCATGGGCTATCATCATCGCCAACACTATCAATAACTGGGTGAGGGGAAGGGGATATGTATGGGTTTGTTTGACAACTTTCACCATCACTGCTGGTGTGCAACCACCATCACTGCAACCATCACTGTATGGCAGTGAGGCAGCTGCTGTATGGGCCATCATCATCTTCGCCAATACCGTCAATAACTGGGTGAGAAGGGTTGGAGCGTGAGTCTGCTTTTGAGTCGACTCAGAATCAATAACTGGGTGAGAAGGGTTGGAGTGTGAGTCTGCTTTTGAGTCGACTCAGAATCAATAACTGGGTGAGAAGGGTTGGAGCGTGAGTCTGCTTTTGAGTCGACTCAGAATCAATAACTGGGTGAGAAGGGTTGGAGCGTGAGTCTGCTTTTGAGTCGACTCAGAATCAATAACTGGGTGAGAAGGGTTGGAGCGTGAGTCTGCTTTTGAGTCGACTCAGAATCAATAACTGGGTGAGAAGGGTTGGAGCGTGAGTCTGCTTTTGAGTCGACTCAGAATCAATAACTGGGTGAGAAGGGTTGGAGCGTGAGTCTGCTTTTGAGTCGACTCAGAATCAATAACTGGGTGAGAAGGGTTGGAGCGTGAGTCTGCTTTTGAGTCGACTCAGAATCAATAACTGGGTGAGAAGGGTTGGAGCGTGAGTCTGCTTTTGAGTCGACTCAGAATCAATAACTGGGTGAGAAGGGTTGGAGCGTGAGTCTGCTTTTGAGTCGACTCAGAATCAATAACTGGGTGAGAAGGGTTGGAGCGTGAGTCTGCTTTTGAGTCGACTCAGAATCAATAACTGGGTGAGAAGGGTTGGAGCGTGAGTCTGCTTTTGAGTCGACTCAGAATCAATAACTGGGTGAGAAGGGTTGGAGCGTGAGTCTGCTTTTGAGTCGACTCAGAATCAATAACTGGGTGAGAAGGGTTGGAGCGTGAGTCTGCTTTTGAGTCGACTCAGAATCAATAACTGGGTGAGAAGGGTTGGAGCGTGAGTCTGCTTTTGAGTCGACTCAGAATCAATAACTGGGTGAGAAGGGTTGGAGCGTGAGTCTGCTTTTGAGTCGACTCAGAATCAATAACTGGGTGAGAAGGGTTGGAGCGTGAGTCTGCTTTTGAGTCGACTCAGAATCAACAACTGGGTGAGAAGGGTTGGAGCGTGAGTCTGCTTTTGAGTCGACTCAGAATCAATAACTGGGTGAGAAGGGTTGGAGCGTGAGTCTGCTTTTGAGTCGACTCAGAATCAATAACTGGGTGAGAAGGGTTGGAGCGTGAGTCTGCTTTTGAGTCGACTCAGAATCAATAACTGGGTGAGAAGGGTTGGAGCGTGAGTCTGCTTTTGAGTCGACTCAGAATCAATAACTGGGTGAGAAGGGTTGGAGCGTGAGTCTGCTTTTGAGTCGACTCAGAATCAACAACTGGGTGAGAAGGGTTGGAGCGTGAGTCTGCTTTTGAGTCGACTCAGAATCAATAACTGGGTGAGAAGGGTTGGAGCGTGAGTCTGCTTTTGAGTCGACTCAGAATCAATAACTGGGTGAGAAGGGTTGGAGCGTGAGTCTGCTTTTGAGTCGACTCAGAATCAATAACTGGGTGAGAAGGGTTGGAGCGTGAGTCGCTTTCACAGCTCACAACCATTGTCACCACCACCATCCTCGTCGTTGATTTCCAACCCTTGCTTATCACCGTTTTTCTCACCCTCACTCCCCACCCCTTGATCCCCACCCCTTGATCTCCACCCCTTGATCCCCACCCCTTTCTCCTCACCCCTTGCTCCCCACCCCTTTCTCCTCACCCCTTGCTCCCCACCCCTTTCTCCTCACCCCTTGCTCCTTAACTCTTCGTTCCTCAACCCTCTGCGTACCCCTTGCTCCTGACTCTGTTTTCCCCACCATTCACCAGGGCTACTTCATTCTGCTCTCCTGGATGCCTCTCTACTTCAACCAGGTGTGTTGTCAGGGGCGGATGGAGTCCTATTCAATTCGGGCCGGTTTCGTTAATTCTCAAAAAACGTAATCCTCAAAAACGTAATTCTCATCTCACAAACGTTATGCTCAAAAAACGACCCTCGCCAGGGGCTACTTCATTCTGCTCTCCTCCTGGATGCCTCTCTACTTCAGCCATTTTTGAGGCGCCTAAAAAATCTCCTGGATGCCTCTCTGCTTCAGCCAGGTGCGCCACTCTTGAACTTGAACGTGTCTAATCATCCACTGCTAGGCCATTCCCGCCCACATTACATTACATCTCCTCTCCCATGCGCTCCCTCTCACGCTCACTCTCTCACACTCAATCTCTCACACTCAATCTCTCACACTCAATCTCTCACACTCTCCCACCCACCGGGTCCTGGAAACGCCATCCGCCAAGCAGAGTGGTTCAGTACGGGGCCATGGGCGATGATGGCAGGCATGGGGCTGCTCGCAGCAGGGCTGATGGGCTGTGCTCTCATGCTCAATGACACACTCTCTTTCACGCGCTCCCTCACACTCTCTCACACCCACCAGGTCCTGCACACGGACATCCGGCAGGCAGCGTGGTTCAGTGCAGGGCCATGGGCGGTCATGGCAGGCATGGGGCTGCTGGCAGCACAGCTGGCTAACCGCATGGAGGGCACGCAGGGCATGACCCGCACTGCCGTGCGGAAAGTCATGCAGGTGAGTGACGGCTGCCACGTGTATAGAGAGGGTGCTTTTGAGACGTCTCAAAACATCACTTTTGTCATGAGACGTTTCAAAAACACCCTCTCTACTCATGCAGGTGAGTGAGGGTTCCTGAGGCGCCTCAAGTGATTGGCTCATCTCACATTTAGCGCACGTAGGGCATGACCCGCACTGCCGTGCGGAAAGTCATGCAGGTGATGGGTCCGGGTCAGTTCAGGTAGGGTTGAAGGTGACATCTCGTCAGTTCAGGTAAAAAAGAAACAGACCAAGACCTTAAACCTCAATGCCCATACTGCTCCAGCAGTTGCTCGACTTATTCACCCCACACACCGCCCGCTTTGCTCTCGTCTCCACCACCTCCCTCCTTCTCCTTCAGGCTGCTGGGTTCCTGGGTCCTGCTGCGTCATTGCTGCTGCTCACACGCATGTCCACCGCCCCTCTCGCTGCCCTCTGCCTCACTGCTGCTCTCGGCCTGAGTGCGTTCAGCCAAGCTGGGTGGCTCCTCAACCATAAGGTGGGTGCTCTTCAAACCTTTTGAGACCATAAGTCAACCATAAGGGGGTGCTCTTCAAACCTTCTCCCTTTAGTCACTCACTCTCTGGCACTCTCCTCTCCTCTCCTCCTCCCCCTCTCCTCTCTCCTCCCCTCCCTCCCCCTCTCCTCTCTCTCCCTCTCCCTCTCCTCCCTCTCCTTCTCTCCCTCTCCTTCTCTCCCTCCCTCTCCTCTCTCTCTCCCTCCCTCTCCTTCTCTCCTCCCTCTCCTTCTCTCCCTCCCTCTCCTTCTCTCCCTCCCTCTCCTTCTCTCCCTCCCTCTCCTTCTCTCCCTCCCTCTCCTTCTCTCCCTCCCTCTCCTTCTCTCCCTCCCTCTCCTTCTCTCCCTCCCTCTCCTTCTCACCCATACACTTCCTGGCTCGCTTCTCAAGTGCCTTCCGCCATTCCAAGTTTTTGCTTGCTGAACCACAAAAACAAGTGCCTTCCGCACCTGGAACCTGCTTCCTTCCCACCAATCACAACGTGCCACGTCGGTTTCATGCTTACAAGGCGCAACTGCCTGTTCTCTGCGCCGCTTGCTTGGTGTTTCTCTCCCTCATCTCCCAACTGCTGCTGCTTCTCTGCCTCTCACACCCCACTCTCTCCCTTCCTCTATTTTGCAAATCTCCGTCGCCCTATGTACCTACCTACCTGCATACCTCTATCTAACCCACGTCTCCTACCCAACCTCTCTCTCCCCGATTCCGTTCCCTTCCCGCCCTCCCTGCAATAGGACATAGCGCCACGCCACGTGGGTCTTCTGCATGGTGAGTCGCTCTTTGTGGGTTGTAGTCCTTGTGAGTGATTTTTGAGAATTCTCAGAAATCACTCTTTGTGGCAGGTGGTTTTTGGGAATTCAGGCATTTTCATTAAGGTCGCCGTAACGAAATCCCTCAAAGCCGGTATTTTCCTGGTGGGTTGCGCTGCTTCGATGCGACTTGCTAGTGCTCGGAGCGTGCTGCTGCTGCATCGACGAAGCTGCATCTAGCAAACGCCTTGTCTCTCTAATGAGTCGCGCCGTAACAATGCGCCGCAGGATACTTTGAGGCCCCTCAAAGAAAAGAAAAAAAAAACTGACTCTTCTATGCACTGCGCTTCTGAGAATTCAACAAAGCAGAGTTCAACAATTCAAAAGTGAACTGCGCTTCAACAATTGAGTCAACTCAGGAGCGCCTTAACAAGTGCTGCAGAGTCTGTGACTTACAGCGGGCATGCTAGCAGGCATAACAAGCTCTGTGGCGACAGGATTCATGGGAGATGGACTTATCACCACTCTTGCTCCCCCCAACCCCACCACCCGCCAGGTCTGTCCTACACAGCCGGCACGTTAGCGGGCATAACAAGCACGGTGGCAACGGGGTTTATGGTGGAGCAGCTGGGGTCGTTCCATTCAGTGCTGGCGGTCACAGCAGCGCTTTACGTGCTCTCCGCCTCCCGTTCTCCCCCTTCTCCCGCCAGGTCTCTCCAACACAGCGGGCACGCTAGCGGGAATCACCAGTACGGTGGCGACAGGCTACATGGTGGAGCAGCTGGGGTCGTTCCATGCAGTGCTGGCCGTCACAGCCGCGCTCTACGTGCTCGCCACGGCCTTCTGGCTCGCATATGCCACCGCTGACGTGGTCTTCCCGTGAGGCGGCGTTCCCTTGAGGGCTTTCCATTGAAGTCCCATCCAAGTCCGTCTTCAGAGAATCTCACAACACGGAATCCACTAACTGACGGGTCCTCTGATGCAGTGCTGGCTGTCACAGCAGCGCTCTACGTGCCCGCCACGGCCTTCTGGCTCGCCTTTTGAGGCGCCTCAAAAGTCGTCACGGCCTTCTGGCTCGCCATTCGCCTCGCCACCGCCGACGTCTTTCGATGCGGGCTTCCTGTTGAGGAGCTTCATGAAAACCCTTCCATAGAAGTCATTTTCATAACATCATGTTTCCGTGGTGGGTGGGACCGTGGGACATTCCACGTGGCGCTGCCTAGCCCGGCACAGCAGTCACATGCTTGGCATCGTGGCGTGACGCAGCCTTCTGACTCGCATTTGCATCCGGAAAGCCGCACTCGTTTGTTCCCTCACTGAACAAAAATTGAGCCAACTACTGCCGAAATAAAGAGCATAAATAGCACACTACTGATGTGTTAATTTACGTATGAAAATTGGTGACAATGAGTTATGGTCTTCCTCACAGCAGAGTCTGCATCCCCTCCCCACTCTTGGTTGGCTGGCTGTAGCACATCCATGCCCCGAAAAGCGCCACCTGTCACTGTTGCTGGTTCCTGTGGCACAGTGACCATGGGCTGGCCTGGATGCAGTGCAGTGCAGTGCAGTGCGGTGCAGTGCAGTGCAGTGCAGGCAAGCAATCGAGCTGCTTCCGAGATGAGTGTGTGCAGTCAAGCCAGCTGCCAGACAGAGGGGAAGGACACGCGGGGGAACTCGGCCTGGAGTCAGGCGATGGCTTGCCGGAAGTCCTTGTCTCCTAACAGGTCTGTACCGTGTTCCTGCGGCACCGTGACCATGGGCTGCATGCAGCATGCGCTTGTAAGGCTGCTGCATGTTGCCTTATGGCAGACCACCAATGGCCTGACCGTGTGCTGTGCACTCACGACAGCTGACCCGCCTGACGGTGTGCACTCCTGACAGCTGACCCGCCTGATGCTGTGCACTCATGACAGCTGACCCGCCTGACGCTGTGCACTCATGACAGCTGACCCGCCTGACGCTGTGCACTCATGACAGCTGACCCGCCTGACGGTGTGCACTCATGACAGCTGACCCGCCTGACGGTGTGCACTCATGACAGCTGACCCGCCTGACGCTGTGCACTCATGACAGCTGACCTGCCTGACCGTGTGCACTCATGACAGCTGACTCGCCTGACCGTGTGCACTCATGACAGCTGACCCGCCTGACCGTGTGCACTCATGACAGCTGACCCGCCTGACCGTGTGCACTCATGACAGCTGCCAGACAGAGGGGAAGCACACGCGGGGGAACTCGGCCTGGAGGCGAGAGATAGCCTGCCGGAAGTCCTTGTCCCCCAACAAGTCCTTGCCGGGTTCCTGCGGCACCGTGACCATGGGCTGTATGCACCGCAGTCGCGGGCTGCCGCGCAGGAGGGCGGTGAGGAAGGCGATGACTGCCATGGCGTGGTCGTGATACTCCACGTGGAACTCCTCCAGGCTGGGAGCCTGGCGAGTGGGGGATGGGAGAGGGGGAGGGTGAGGAACTCCTTTGAGTGATGTGCTTTCTGGACTGCCCCGCAGCAGAGCGGTGAGGAAGGCGATGACTGCCATGGCGTGGTCGTGATACTCCACGTGGAATTCCTCTAGGCTGGGCGCCTGAGGGGAGGGGGAGAGAAAGGGGCAGAGCAGCACAAGGCGACATTCACGGCACCGAAAGGAATGGTATGTGAGCCCAAGGCAGCAAGTGACACTCACCCGAACCACCGTAGTGTCGCCCCGTGTGACAATCATAACCTCTTAGTAGACGGATGGAGGGGCAGAGCAGCAGAAGAGCAGCGATGGCTGTAGAGCGTACCTGGCCCTTTGTATGCTCCGCCACTTTGTATGCCTGATTTATCAATGCCACGTACCCTGATAACCTTTGTGTCCCCCAGTGTGGCGATCATGACGTAGTTGACGGAGGGAGAGGAGGCGGGGGAGGGTGAGTTTGTGGGGTGTGCTGTGCACACACACACACAGACACACACACACACACACACACACACACACACACACACACACGCACACACACGTACCCTGATAACCTTTGTGTCGCCCAGTGTGGCGATCATGACGTAGTAGACGGAGGGGCAGAGCAGCAGGAAGCGCAGCGAGGGCAGCGAGGAGAAGAAGGCCGTAGCCGTGTCGATGGACGCCGCTGAGAGCGGGTCGATGTAGCAGGTCAGTGAGAGCTCCTCGAGCGACAGAGCACAGAGGTCCAGAATGGCTCGCACCGTGCCCCAGCTCCAGTCGTCACCTGTCAACTGGAGAAGGAAGATGGGAAGTAGTGTTTTGAGACGTCTCAAAACATGTCAACTGGAGAAGGAAGAGGAGGAAGTAGGCAGGAACATGGGGAAGGGAGATGTGGACGGCTGTGGAGACCTCTCAAAAGGGGAGGTGCGGTTTGAGACGTCTCAAATGGGGAGGTGCGGTTTGAGACGTCTCAAATGGGGAGGTGCGGTTTGAGACGTCTCAAATGGGGAGGTGCGGTTTGAGACGTCTCAACTGGGGAGGTGCGGTTTGAGACGTCTCAAATGGGGAGGTGCGGTTTGAGACGTCTCCAATGGGGAGGTGCGGATGGGTGCGGATGGGTCTGGATGGATGGAGAGGCTGCAAGGTCCACTCCCCTAGAGGCTGTGAGTGGGTCGATGTAGTATTTCATGGAGAGCTCCTCTAGGCAGCGAGCAGCGAGAAGAGAGCAGCGAGCAGCGAGCAGCGAGCAGAGGGCAGCGAGCTCTTTTCAATCAACTCACAAGTCACGACCGCACCTTGAGCTCAGTCAGTCGGCTGAAGGCATCAGGGTTGGCGTGAAACTGGAAGCCAGCAGCGAGCTCCAGCGACAAGCGCCTCAGATGCTGTCCTTTTGAGTCGACTAATACCAATACTCACCCTTGAACTTGGCCGCACCTTGAGCTCAGTCAGTCGGCTGAAGGCATCAGGGTTGGCGTGAAACTGGAAGCCAGCAGCGAGCTCCAGCGACAAGCGCCTCAGATGCTGTCCTTTTGAGTCGACTAATACCAATACTCACCCTTGAACTTGGCCGTACCTTGAGCTCAGTGAGTCGGCTGAAGGCATCAGGGTTGGCATGAAACTGGAAGCCAGCAGCGAGCTCCAGCGACAAGCGCCTCAGATGCTGTCCTTTTGAGTCGACTAATACCGATACTCACCCTTGAACTTGGCCGCACCTTGAGCTCAGTGAGTCGGCTGAAGGCGTCAGGGTTGGCATGAAACTGGAAGCCAGCAGCGAGCTCCAGCGACAAGCGCCTCAGATGCTGTCCTTTTGAGTTGACTAATACCGATACTCACCCTTGAACTTGGCCGCACCTTGAGTTCAGTGAGTCGGCTGAAGGCATCAGGGTTGGCATGAAACTGGAAGCCAGCAGCGAGCTCCAGCGACATGCGCCGCAGCCGCCCCGACTGGATGCGGATGTCGCCCCATAGCTCGTGCTCCAGCCGCCCCTCCGGTGCCCAGTCCACCTCCAGCTCTAGGTCCTGAGAGAGGCAACACAAAGTAGAGCGGTAGTGGAAAAGAAGGGGGAAGTCAGATGGAGGAAGAGGGAAGGTCAAGGCGTTTCAGTTTTTTTTTTTTTTTTTTTTTTTTTTTTTTCCCGCCACAAGGTACAGGCGGCAGCGGTTCTCTCAAGGGCCCGGCCCAGTCCACCTGAAACGCTTGGACCACTTCCGCCTCTAGCTTTGTTTTGAGTCGACTCAAAACCTGGACCACTTCTGCCTCTAGCTTTCGATGCTAAAAGTGGAGGCAAGGAGAAGGAGAAGGAAGTTCAAGCTGTTTCAAAATGCGACAAACAAACCTCAAGGTTGGGCGCGTGCGTTCAGTCGCAGCAGCCCCAGACAAGCATCCTTCCTGGCAGCCACACACCTTCTCAAACCTTCCTGGTGCGCCTCGCGAGAGCTCCAGACAAGCATCCTTCCTGGCAGCGCGGTCGCTGAGCCGCACTTCAAACCTTCTCAACTCCTCACACAGCACGGCGCATGCATCAGATCCGATCCAGTGGGCCAATCCCCGAGCGCAGCAGCAGCGTGAGCTCCTGCAACCGCAGGCAGCAGGCGAGCAGATCCCCCAATATGTCCCCCGCCACCACCGCCTTGGCAAGAAAAAGCAACCAAAAGCCACCACCGCCTTGGTCCCGCCTTGGCCTTGCCTTGTCCGCCTTGCCATACCTCAAGGTTGGGCGCTTTTGAGAATTCTCAAAAGTACAGAGCCATACCTCAAGGTTGGGCGCTTTTGAGAATTCTCAAAAGTACAGAGCCATACCTCAAGGTTGGGCGCTTTTGAGAATTCTCAAAAGTACAGAGCCATACCTCAAGGTTGGGCGCTTTTGAGATTTCTCAAAAGTACAGAGCCATACCTCAAGGTTGGGCGCTTTTGAGAATTCTCAAAAGTACAGAGCCATACCTCAAGGTTGGAGGGATTTTTTCCCTGCAGGTCGAGCAGAATTCTAAAAAAATCCCTGCAGAGCAGAGCCATACCTCGAGGTTGGGGGCGTTCAGTCGCAGCAGCTCCAAACAAGCATCCTTCCTGGCCGCACGGTTGCTTAGCCTCACTTCAAACCTCCTCAACTCCGCACAGGGCGCATGCATGAGGTCAAGCGGACCGATCCCCGAGCACAGCAGCAGCGTCAGCTCCTGCAATCTTGAGCAGCACGCCAGCAGATCCGCCACCATGTCCCCCGCCACCACGGCTTTGGCGAGGGTGAGGTGGGTGAGCGAGGAGAAGGGCGAGCAGCGGTGGAGCGTGGACACGCAGTCAAAGACGGCGTTCTCGAGGTACAGCTGGCGCAGGTTTCGGCAGCGAGACGCGTGCTCCAGCTTCCACTCCTGCGGCTGCTCCTCCACCTCCTCTTCTTCCTCTGCTGCTGCCCGCTCGTGGGCACGGGGAAGGTTAACGGGGTAGGGTGGTTGGGGGAGCCTGGCGGCAGTGACAGCAGCAGCAGCAGCAGCAGCAGCAGCAGCAGTAGTAGTAGTAGTAGCACCGTTCCTGCTACCACCACTGCCGCCACCGCCGCCGCCGCCGCCACCGCCACCGTTGCCGTCACTGTCGTTGCTGCTTCGACCAACGTTTCCGCCGTTTTCATTGGTCGAAGTAGCAGGGGCGGCAGCAGCGGCAGCAGCAGCAGCCGCAGCAGCAGCGACGGCAGCAGCGTGGGCCCGTGCACTGAGAATGGCGGCGTCTGCTGTGCCGTCCACGAGAGTGAGCTCTTCCAGGGAGTCACGGCACACCAGGCACCACGTCATCACCGCTAGCTCCTGGACGAAAGGGAGGAGGGTGCGGGAAAAAGGTGTGGGGAAGGTGGGGGGGAAGTAGAGAAAAGGTGGGCTTGAGCTCTTCTAGAGAGTCACGGCACACCAGGCACCACGTCATCACCGCTAGCTCCTGAATGGGGGATGGGGAGTGGTGGAAAGTGGTGGAAAGTGGGGGGCGGTTGGGGGAAGGGAAGGTGGGTTAAGGATGAGTAAGGAGCGGCTACAAAAGTGCTCCTAAGCTGTCTTTGAAGGTGGGGTAAGGAGGGCCTACTAAACATGCTTAACCTATAATTTTCTCATCCAGAAGGGGTCGAAGAAGGGGGAAATCACCTGGAAGGGGTCGGAGGCGGGAACGTTGCGCACCTGGAAAGGGTCAGAGGCGGGGGGAGCTTCGACGTAGAGCGAGGTGACGGCGGCAGTGGCCTGCAGCAGCGCCTGCGTGATTCCCCTCTCCGCCGCCTCGCGGTGGGGGAAGTCCTCCGCCAGAAACACCAGCGCCCCGCCCACCCGCACCACGCGCTGGGGGGCCGCGGGGGGTGAGGAGGGGGAGAACACGGGAAGGGTATTGCGGAAGGGGTGAAGGGGAAAACATGCAGCAGCGCCTCCGTGATTCCCCTCTCCACCGCCTCCCTGTTGGGTGAATCCTCCGCCAGAAACACCAGCGCTCCGCCCGCCCGCACCTCGGGCTGGGGGGGAGAGGGGGAGGGGGGGAGGGGGTTTGTGGGAAGAGGTGAGTGCGGGAAAAGAAGGGGTCCTTTGATTCGCACCTGGGGGCATACGAGCAGGTGCATGGCTGCGCGGCTCACCCGGAGGTAGGAGCAGGTGGAGCGGAAGGCGACGAGGCTCTTGGCGTGCACGATGCACGACGCGATCTTGGCGCACAGGTTGTCGGGCAGCACCGCGAAGTACCCGCTCCCCCTCCACGCGCGCGCTGCTCCGCGCTCGGCGCTTCTCCGGAACTCAGGAGCCATTTCGCGCGCGCACGGCTGCTGCGCGACGTCAAAACCCGCGCAGTCCGCTCCCCCGGAGTCTGCTCCCGCGCAGTCTGCTCCCGCGGAGTCCTCCCCCGAACACGGCGGAGCGCTTCGCATCAAGGTGCGGTCAGGGGAAGCGGCATTGCCTAGAGGAGAGCCGCCCTTGATACCCTCCGCCTGATCAGCGCCGTCCATCGCGAGGTCTTCAGGACCGCCATCTGCCGGATCGAACGGCTGCGATCTATCCGCAACCGTGCGAGCCTGATCTCGGCTGTGCACTGCGGGAGGTTGGAAATCAACGAGCGGTTCGCGTCCGGGATAATGATGGTGGTGGTGATGGTAACCCGATGGATGCGCGGCGTCGCCGTCATAAAAAACCCGTTCGCGAAAAGCAGCGGCAACAACGTCGCTGTCATCGGTAACCCGATCACGAAAAGCAGCGGCTCGCAAACGAGACTCGGTATTTCTAGGGATACTGCCCGTGTTATATCCCGAATCGGGTCCTCCAGGAAAATAGTTAGGATCTTCTGGTGGAGGGTCTAAGTTTAAGTCCATGAAAGCTAATGAACAATAACCACTACGAAATCGTTCAAGTCCGCACCGCACTTCTCAAGACCAAGAGATGAAGGTATCGTGAGGAATGCCACAAGTTGTGTAACCACGAATCG